TGGCTGATCATGCTGGGTTCTTGAGCCAACACATTCTAACCTCACTTCTGTTGTATACGAGAATATACCCTACTAGTAATTACCGTCAACTGTTTAAACCTGAAAAGAAGTTAACTCTATGACTTCGGTTGTGAGCATGTCTTCAATCTAAACAGTTCTGAATTCATGTCTGAGTCATTATCCGCATCAAGTTGGCAACACCTAATTTCCTCTTTAGAGGAAGTGGCAGCAACATTATCCACATGGTCTTACAGGTATGATTGATGTTGCTGGACCATACTGGCTTGGAGGTTGTGTAGTTTCTTATCTCTACTTTCTTGCTTTCTTTCCTTTGATAGTTGCTGTGGAGATAATGTGGTGGTTGCATACCTTTGGGATACAAAAGCCTAATTTGCCTGAGTTTTTGGGTATTCGATTGACTTCTGGTGTTTCTGAATGAGAATGAGATCTTGTAAGTCCTTCGAGGCTTCAGTTCACATAATGTCTGGAAAGACATCATCCAACCATTCTATATATGGAAACTTTGCCGCCCTTAAGGGCCATAATATACAATGCTAGGTCAATATAAAACACAAAGCTGATCTTGTTACTACACTGTCTAAGCTTCTTTGATGATATTCCTTCACTTCACAGACACGACCTCATTTGACAGAATCTCAATCTTGTCTTTTGCAGTTGGCCACTGTGGGGTTATGCTATCATTTGCATCTTTGTGAATGTCCATGGTAACTTGTCATATTCAGAATGCAATTTCAAGTGCAAATAGGTAACTTGTGGTATATATATCTTATCAAAACAGAAAATTTGCAGGTCTCAATATTTATTTCTGGCTTTCGTTCATCCCTGCCGTTGTAAGTACCTTCTTCACCATGGTATTCTAGAAAATGGACCAAATTCGTTGGTTGTGTAACTTAAACTTGTTTTGTGCATGTTAGCTTGTTATGTTGGTGGGGACAAAGCTCCAGCATGTTGTCTCATCACTAGCACTCGAAATTGTAGAGCCCACAGGTCCATCCAATGCAACACAAGTAAAGCCTCGGGATGATCTGTTTTGGTTCGGAAAGCCAGAGATACTGTTACAATTAATACAGTTCATCATATTTCAGGTTACTTCCTGTGCCTATGTTTTGCATACACATGTATTGTCGTTGTCATTTTGGCTGACGGTAGTCATCTTCCTCGCTGTGCAGAATGCCTTTGAGATGGCAACATATATCTGGGCATTGGTAAGATTAATTATTGTTCTCTAGTATTCTTTCTTTTATGCAATCATTTATGGCTTGAACTGAATGCATGGCCAAAAATTATACGTTCTTGGGGGTCCATGGAATGGTTTTCAGTTATATACGCCCCGGAACCTTTTTTTCCTTCAACAGTGAATGATAATGCAAAGAATAAATAACTTATTTGCCCATTAATGGTATGTGGCAATCTCTCTCTCTCTCTCTCTCTCTCTCTCTCCTGCCTACAGTTGCCTGTCAATTATTGAAGGGTGATAGGTTATTGAGTCTTCTATGTTTCTTGTTTAGTGGGGATTTAAACAAAGGTCATGCTTCATGAAGAACCATTTGTTAGTAATCATTCGCCTTGCTTCCGGGTAAGTCTCTATGTTTGAGTTGCAGATCTCTTTTATTTCATTATTCCTAATTTCAACTACTTTATTATTCATATGGGTTATCTGTCAACAATTTTCTGCTATATCCCCCAATCAATTTCCAATGCAGGGTCATCGTTCAGTTCTGGTGCAGTAATAGCACAGTTCCCCTGAATGTAATTGTCACACAGGTCGGTGCTTACCTTCTACTGTAGAAATATAGTCCTTAATGCACAAAGTCATTTGTTAATATCTTTGTAGATAAGGTGGATCTCATTGAATCAACATATCTTGTAGAATCCTCAAGTTAGCCTGCTTAATTGTGTATATCATTATAGGAACCTAAAAAGTCCAAGGTGCTTATTTTGGTTCTTATTCATGAAGTGGTTGTTGAATGAATCCGATCAATCCGGAGCAAACGTAACAATAGTTTGTATTCTCTAGAAGACTTATTAATTGGGATGACAAATACTTTTATGTTGACTTCATGTCACTAGCAGCAAGCAATAGGCGTGACCATTTGATAGTGGAACTATACCTTCATGTTTGTCTGCTCAGTGGCTACTTTAATATTAATTCGTCTTCAATATTAAGACTGAACATAAGTATTCCCCTCACATGACCTTTCGGTGTTTTAATATCACTTTGGCAAAGCTTAAGAGGAAAAAATTTGAATAGAGTGCCCATTTTCTGACGGAGTTCATAAGATATTTCTTACTTTTACTAGTAGCAACCATCGGCCCCCTGGATACTCTTCAGAAATGCGCACATGCGCACGTGCGCATGTTTCTTTTGGATGTTGACACAACTAAGAGTGACTATCACAGACTTACCTCTTGATTTGATAAGAAATGAGTAGATGCTAAGTGAAAAGTTAAATGCTCAACAAGGCTAGCTTGACTCCTGGAGATAATTGTCTACTTCTGGTAATTTGTGTCTGGTCGGTACTAAATTTTGGAAGTACATCTAAATTTAAAACTGAGCTCAAGTTTTAGTGACTGCCTCTAATATCATAGTATGTCATTGCCTCTTGAATTCGTGTGTTGTAGATGGGATCTCGGTGCAAAAAAGCCTTGGTTGCAGAGAGCGTCAGGGAGTCACTCCATAGCTGGTGTAAAAGAGTGAAGGAGAAATCAAAGCGTGATTCTTTGCGTTTGTATACCGTAAGGTCTACTTGTTCACTTGATACAACAATAGATGAGAGGGATGAAATAACGGTGGCATCAGGTACATTATCTCGGAGCTCTTCACTAGCCTCTCTCAATAATCAGGATACCGTCACCTCGATAGACCAGATAGAGACCGTTCTTGATATTTCCGATCGTCCGCAAAAGGAGTTTTTGTTTCGGATGGAGGAATTCTTGTCCGAGTCCTTGCGCATGAGCACGCCACACTCGCGTCATGGCGAAGAAGACAATGTAGGAGAAGTTGGGGAGGAAGGTAAAGATGAGACTCTGTCAGAGTTGTTTCGGAGGACTTAAGCCACATGATTCAGATCAATCGGCTTAGTTATAGGATGACGGAATGACGTTATACTCATCTACATTCACGATATTGTAGAAAAAGGGGGCTCTGCTCATCTTGTATTACCCAAAATCCTGTAGGATATTTTCCTCTCTATCAAACTGGTTAAGGTACAAATGGCTCCCGGAGTGTGATGGGATAGGAGATACAAAAGCAGCGAAGAAAACTTTATATCACGCAGCCTTTTGCGAGAGTTTAGTTTGGCTGGAGCATATGAATACCCCAATTTCTAATTTGTCATACTTTGCAGAGTACTGTTCTCCAAACATGGCATTAGCAAGATGACATCAATGCATTTCAAGCCACAGACATCCTTTTATTGTCATAAGCAGGCTTTAAATGCATTTGTGCGGTTTAGAGCACTGCCCCTGAAACTGACTACTGACATCTTCATATTATAATGCTGAACGTACATACTTATGAAGGATGTCTGCACACCAAATGCAATAGAAAGGAATATAGAGCATGAGTTTTATTTCCTCATACAGAAATAGGAAAAAGAAAAGCCATTACAGTAGACTCAGAATAACATTAAATTATCCCTGGCACAGTAAAAAAGGAAGAGACTAAGTGAACTAACAAACAGGTAAAGAGGGAGGGAGAGAGAGAGAGAAAGGACAAGTTGCATGGAGTGAGACTAATTTATGCAAAGCAAATAGGAGCTTCAAGCAGTGAGCTCCTCTTCCTTGTGAGTCTCAATGGTGACATCAGATTGAGGGTAGGCAACACAGGTGAGGACCCAACCTTGATCAATCTGATCATCATCCAGGAAGCTGCCGTCGCTCTGGTCGACGCTCCCCGCCACGACCTTGCCCGCGCAGGACGAGCAAGAGCCGGCGCGGCAGGAGTAGGGCAAGTCGATGCCTTGCTCCTCGGCCTGGTCCAAGATGTAAACATCATCGGGGACTTCAATTTCGACTTTGCCTTCGGGGGTGATCAGGGTGACCTTGTAGGCGGCCATGGCAGTCACTCTTCCACGGCCAGAGTTGACACCAAACAGGGCCTGACCCACATTGGGGAATGCCCTGAGTCTGTTCACTGGCTGCATCCTCACGAAGGGGGAGCTCACCACGCTTCCTGAGAGTGCAGCTCCTGCAAGTGCCATTTCTCTTCTCTTCTCTCTAGTTTGGTGTGAAAAAAACTGAGAAGACTGTCATACTTTGAGCGCCTTAATATTGGATGTGGGAAGGAGAAGAGGATAGGGGATTGTCTCTGGCTTGTGGCTTGCCACGTGGCGCGTCCTGGTGCCTCGCTCTATCTCTTTATCATCAGGACCAGATAAAATTGGGTGACTGGTGAGGAGGTCGACCGTGGATGCCACATTCCTCCCTTGAGATAGTTTTTGGCCTTCATTTTTTCTCTTTTCTTTTCTTCTTTTGGTGCGCGTGAGACAAAAGAAACCCACATTTCTGGTCCATTTTCCTGCCCAAGATTAATTTCCTGGTCTTCAGTTAATAAAGTCCATTTTCCCATAAGAAAATGAGAGAAGAGTGAAGATTCTCATTCCATTTGGTGACTGGTAGAGACTCTTTAAACGGCCAAATCCACGAAAGCGCTTCAATATGTGTGAATAGCAAAGTAAACGCATTGCGTACCACACATAATAGAGGTCCAGGAAACTCCCAATTCCAATTAAAGCCGATATTCGCGAAACTTCTACATGCGAACAGCCCTAGCAACTAATACATGCCTATCAGGACCAAACTGACAATCGGCAGAGCATCAGTGGTCGCATGGAACCGCAACCAGAAAGCGAAAACGAAAGACAAGGCCACAGAAGCCATAGCAGACACCCGAAGAAACTCGCTACCTGGAGGGCGATTATGCATTCCAGGGCCAAAACTGGCATATTCCATATTAAACAATAGCAGAAGGAACATGATCATCAGGATCACAAAATTCATTATCGACTCCTTTCCTGCTGAAGTCCATATTCCAGACAGCAAAAATAGCATTACAACGTTAGCAGACTCAAGAAATTAAGTATCCACTGGGGCACCTATTTGTAAAAAGTTTCTGATAGCGAGAACAATCCCTGCACCCTATTCATCTTACAGCTAGAATATAAAGGAAAAAAAAAAAATTCTCAGGATTCCCCAGGCTCGGCGGAAGAAAGTGTACATCCCCATCCTTGAATTCCGTGATAACCGTCCGGTGACATTCTAAATAGTCCGCAAGGTGATAGGCTGGCTTCCTCTCGATTTTTATTGTCATCTCCACAACCAAAAGGTACCGGGAAAAACCATTTCGCCCACTTCCCATCATGAAGCTCTAATCACATTTGATGTTTCTGTAGATCCTCCTTACAAACAAATTCGAGCCCAGATAACCAACGGCACCTGTGCGCAATCATCACACATAGATGCTCAATACTCCAAGAGAAAAAGAAGACTGATCAAGTCGTTGAATTAAATGGCAGCCTTCGAACATGGAATTACAAGAGCTAATAGACTCCAAACACATAGGTGGCAAACTAGAAAAAATTATGGCACTCTCATAAGGTATTGAACTAGCTACAAAGCTACTAACCATCATCTACCATAGAGAAAACCTGACATGAAAAAAAAATATGTATTGCAAATGAATGTTTAAAGCAACTGATTTACTAAATTCCTCCCTATGGACCAAAAAATTTAGGGATTTAGTGTCCTCCTAGACAAGCTGAGTCCAGATATCTAACTGAACGTGCACAAACCACCACATACCAAAATTTGCAATCATGTAAAAGAAAAACTTTATAGGAAGCTGACTACTAAGTCTTTTTTATTCTACAACAAACATTGCAAATGAAAGTCATTAAACCCTCTTTTTTGGGCGGGGGCGCAGTAAATAGAGCAATTAACATTTTTTTTTATTTTGGTGCAATCACTGAGGACATCATAATACTCACCACAAAGTATTCCCAGTCCAAGACAGAACATCAAGGTGTATCCAAAATAGAAGCTGGTCTGGAAGAACCCCGACATCTTAGTCTTCACATGGTAGTAATAGATTGAGTACAAGTATACATAGACAGCTGTTGAGGCAGCAGAGAAAAACGAGGTCCACTGCCAATGATAATTCTCAGCATTTAAGAGAAAGTATGTGCCCACAATTGTTACACAAACCGTAACAATGATGAGAATTAGGAAAACAAGCAGCATAAATCCATACACGTAGTACACCTGTAAACCACAATAGAGCAAAATCAGATACTGAATTATCATTAACTTCATTGGTTTGTTCTAGAAATCAAGATCTTCCAGTAAGGGGAACTGGAAATCACCTTGTAATTCCAGAAAGAAGTGAAGACAAAGTACATCTCGATAAAAATGCTGCCAAAGGGTAACAATCCTCCCATCATCGACACCACAGAGGGTGTCAAGTACCACTTTTTCTCAGGAATGGGACGAGGAATAGTCTTCACACGACATGGGTTGTTCGGAGCTCCACTCCAGTTTCTTCCTACGACTGTTCCAAGGAGAGCTAGGGGGAATGAGATGAATGCCCAGATAACAAAAACCACTACCATAGTACCAAAAGGAATTGCTGCTAAAGACCCATAAAATATAGCAATGGTATTGAGGATGAAGCCAATTCCAAAGCACATAAATGGGAATAAAGATGCCGTGAGGATCATCGACTTGATCCAACTTTTACCTACACAAGATAACAGAATTTCATAATCAGCAAAACACACCTTAGAAAGCAACTTTAATTAATAACAAAGATCGAAGGCAATTGAAAATGATGACAACACGTCGAGAGTACTGACCGCCATGACGTGAGTACATTCCACCACTAACATAGCCAGAAATAAAGGAGGTGAAGGCATAACATAGGATAAAAGTTGTAACAATTGCTCCTCTCCTGAACAATAGTAATTCATGTCATGACAAAAAAAAGACACATTCAATTGCAAGATATCAAGAAAAGTAAAGCTGGATTATATTATTTCAGCTAGCGGATCAAAGAAATCCTCCTGTCTTAAGCAAAATTATCCACAAATAATCATTAAGTATGAGAACATACCCAACATATAACATTCCAACAATTGCCAACAATATGACAAGGAGCACAAGTAGAGCAAGCTGAGCACCAGTGCCAACCACAGCTGACAGCAATACTAAATTACGTGGAGGCCGAAAAACATCGCCATGGACAAGTTTCCAGCCAGACTCTTCACTCACATCCCTTTCCTGGGTAGAGCATCAAATAGTCATCATAATTTAGTCAGCGACACTGCAACATCAAAAAGAAGACACTAAACATCAGAGCACAGGAGGGGACAGCAAAATATCAAAAGAGAATCACCAGAGTCTCCAGATCATCATCTTCCCTTGCGTATTTCGCATAGTCATTTCTCAGAGTCCGCATCAAAATCATCGACACCAAGCCAGTTAGGAATATCACCATCATGAATGAATTGAAGATAGAAAACCAATGGATCTGTCACACAGGAAAAGTGCACAGAAATTAATGAGAAAAGGAAAATTGAACAGAACGTCCTGGAACAAAAAATATTGTTACTTTCACGAAGATTACTAGATAATCCATAATGCTATTGAATATTGATAAACAAATGTCAGGAGCAAACGAGTGTATAGAACATAAATACGCCGTAAGCAAATGGAGACGATGATCTTCTTGCGTTTATGCATGTACGTAACTAAAAGATAGTAAACCACCATACTAACCTGATGCTCAAAGAAAGGGTAATCCAAATAAACATCAAAACGACGTGCAAAAGAAACAGGAATCTCTTCCCATTTGACAGAGTATGTCATATCATATGTCTTTCCAACTTCCAAGGCCTTTGGATTCTCTGGCATCAGACTAGCATGAATAATCTACATAAAAGAAGAGTGGTAAGTAAGCATCAGAATCCTTAACTGTTATAAATAACAGATGAACTGATAGTCACACCTGATTTTTGTTGTACTTAACACTGATGCTTTTATGAGTGTATAGTACGTGCTTGCTGTTATCACTGTTCTTATCAGGGTGCAGTTCACCAACAAAACCTAAAACAGGAAAGAAAAGTGTGAGACTGGAAAACATTCAAAGTTTTAAAATTCAATCTAACAATAACTATTAATTACATACCCCACAAAGGCAGATCATCTGGACTTGCATTCAGCAGGCAATATCCCAAAGCATGATCCAGAAAGACATCAAGTTGAAATGAGTAAGGGCAAATAATAATACAGATCTTCAACCCACCAGACGAAGAAATATATCAATCAATATCAAAGGGAGGGGGAAAAACGATAACCATGTCACAAATGGTCCTAGTGAAGTCATAGAACACACATGGTTCTATTGATACTAAAAGAAACAATGCCAATTCATGCATACAGTAATGGTCTAAATTGCCGTGGCTGCTGCATTCACACTTTTAAGCCCAGTAAATAACATCCACAATCACTTTGAATATGTAGTATAAAATCATTGGAACTTCTACAAGGAGCCTCCCAAGGCCCGTGCAACTCTCCACAAAAAAAAAAGGGAGGGGGGGGGGGGGGGGGAAGGGAAGGGAAGGAGGAGAAAAACACAGCTATGGGGTTCCTGGATTACAGATTGTATGTATTAAAGGTCATGCTTTCCTTACACTGTGTCAAACCATCAAATATTTGGATAAAGCTAGTTCCATTAAGTTCTCTCTTTAGTCATTAAGTAAATTAAGATATATAAGAGGTGAGTTAATCTATCAGAATATGTTAACATAAAAGAAGTAGATGATACCTAAACATTAAGTCAATGAAGTACTCAACAAAGGTTTACATACCCATGAAGAATTCAAACCAATAACTATTCTCAATAGCATCCTTGAATTGTTTGACCTTCCCTTCATCAAGTTCAAGTGGACAAATGACACCTTTCTCCACAGTCTCTGCAAAGGAAAACGTCTCACAATAAGCTCCACATAATATCAGATTCAACAGTTAAAAATAACGTGAAGGCAATCTGCATACTTCGAAACTTTATCTCAATCTGGCTATCGATGAGTTCATTTCCACCAAGGACCTCACCAAGACCACCCCACTTATGTGCAGGATTTCCAGGAGCACGGCAAAATGGGAGGCTGTAATAATTGTATGTTTCTTGGGGATTGTTGTATGGGCCAACCTTATTAACCCAAAGGGTGACTGCCTCGTCTTGCTGATACTGAAAGAGAAGTGAAAAGTTGTCAGCAAGAATGTGCGTCTTCTGTTTGGATAAGGAAACATAAAATAACGAGCTGTTGCTGCCAAAAATAGAGGTATAGTTTACTGATATGGCAATAGACGTGCTGCCTATAAAACCAACAGCAGTCAACAACCCATTCTTTTTTTTGTCTTTACAACCTATCAGTGAGTATCTTCCCTTGTGACTATATTCAATAAATTCGTAAGATTTTTAGAAAGCTCATCGAGAAGACGAAGTTCACCAAGAACCTGATCTTGGTCTTTAAAAGCTTTGTCTTTACAACAATAATATGAAAGTTCCTATTGCAAGCTTAAGGCTACAATTCTACTTATTAAAAATGATCAAACTATATTAGCAGAAGCAGCTAGCACTCGAGAGTCGAATCAAGACTATCTACTGCCGAGAAAAAACAGGAGAAAGCAGCTCTAGGAAAATTGAGATCAATGCGAAAAAGTCAGTGCTTTGCATTCATCATCACGGGAACCACATTAGGACAACGATCAGCGAGTGAGATCCAACTACTGACACTAAAAAGACTGAGCACTGACTTGCAACGTATAAAGATCTAGTGCCACTGTAAGAGAATTGGCAAGTCATTCACAATCAGACGCACGAAAGAAGCTTTAACATCCCGATCAATGCCGTACATTACAATGCTAACGCCCAAGAAAACATCTGAGACCGTGCACGTGCACAGAAGCGAGTAAACCCCCCCACGTGCATCGCGGTTCTCCTCCGGACAAACTAAGCCACAGGCACTTCCACCGACACAAACCCGGCGCACCCACGCAAATCTAAAGCCGACACGGCCAGATTCTGGCGGAGAACCCTCGAATCAAAGCGGAAAACGCCGGAGCCGAGACAGCGCAAATCCCGAAAGAGCAGATCTAAACCAAATTAGGGACCAAAAACGAGGCCGCGAGCGAGATCTAGGATTCAGGAAAACGCGTCGGGGACCAGTGGCCGAGTCAACCACGACGCGGTGGGAAGGACGAGGACGAGCTTTACCTTGTGATCTGACTCGGAGGCGAGGGCGGAGGAGGAGAGGAGGAAAAGGAGAGGGAGGAGGAGAGAGAGGGATCGGACGGCGGGAACCATGGCGGTCGCCGGCGAGGGTCGGATCTGAATCGGGGTCAGAATCGGACCGAGAGAGGTCGTCGTCGTTGTCGTTCCCTCTGTACCTGGGAGCTTCTGCGGGTTGGAGGAAGCGTTAAATGAAGGGGGCGAGTCGGGTCTCAAAGCGGGTTTAAGCTCCGGTTCAGCTCCACGGCCCTATCCGGGCGAGACGGGAGGGAGAGCTATGTGGGTCGGGTCACACCGGGACGCCCGGGATGCTGACACGTGGGGACCCGTGCACCGTCCGCGTGCATTCATTTGATCTGATGAGGACGGCTCTCTTTGTTGAGACCACCGATAATTGAGAGAGGGCTTCATCTAGATCACGGGTCCATGACCAAAAAATATTACATTATTCGTCATAAAACCAATCGAGTTTGAGCATATACTTAGATAAGCCGGTCGGGCCGAGTCCCGAAGCGGAAATGCTCGCCAGGCTCGCGCCTATCTGTGCTTTAGGTCTATTGAACTCGAGGGAGTCTAGTACAAACACCGTCGGCTATCGGGCCCGTGATCATTCACGCTACGGCAGTGCATGCGAAACCAAATTGATAATCCAATGGGTTTTTCTTTCGAAAATTGTAGGCAATATATCATATCAAATTGTTTCTATATAAGGGTTCATGCAATATGCATACAAGTCATCTCCTAGATATGTAGGATGGTAAAAGAAATCTCCCAAGACTTTCGAGATTGACCCAATCCCGTGAACTAATAGAGCATCGGGTAAACCTTTTTGTTCGAAGCAATTCAAAGTTAAATTTCTCGGAACCCGAAATGTTTCGAGATTAAATTAACTCGAGAAGCGTCTAGAATCAACAGGTGTTATCTTTCAGAATCTATATAATCAAAATAAAGGATCGCATGGATCGCCCATGACTAAACACGTTTGTTCGGAGTAATTTATGATCTTCGCTTTTTATGGATATCGACACTTTAATTTGTACGCAACATGAAATGGTTATGCTGATTTCTAAAATATTCATATATCGATGCGTGAAACTGGAGACGATTTTCTCGTACAATTTTCTCGAGAATTCAACGTGATTCTGTATTATTTATAAAAGAAATTCATAGTTTAAAAAAAGTAGTTGAAAATCCCGTGGACAGGAGGGATGGTTTTGATTTTGTTCGTATATCGAGGAAATTCTAAAGATCCACCGGCATTCACCGAGATTGAGGATCCAAACGGAATTTGTCCAGTTCAATTAATAAGAGATTTGCGGTTTCGTCTTGTTTCTTGTGGTCTCCTCCATAGCCAACCAAAGTTGTTCCTGACTTAGGATAGAAAATGTGAGGGGATTGTTTGTCGTGTCATTAATCTGTTTTGGTAGGAGATCGGATATAACATCTACAAGGATTTAATAAACAATAAAATAAAAAATAAAAAACTGAACAGATAACTTTAAGAAAAAGTAAAGAAACCGAGACCACCGTGACATACGTAGCCACCGTTACCTGTGGAGGTCGCCATTTTAGACGGCGACCTTCACAGTGGGCATTGCCTGACCATGGCGGCCATCACAACCGATCGGCCATGAGGATCCTCGAGCAATGGTAACATACGGTGGTCGGCGTTGTAGGGTGCGACCACCATTGAGCCGTCGCCAAAGCAAGGGAACAAACGGCGATGGCCAGATATACCAGGAAAATTGTTTAAAAAGTCATTAATTTATTACACTTTTACCAATTCAGTCATAAACCTTTCGATTTTACCAATTTAGTCTCAAACTTTTCAATTTTGCCAATTGAATCATAAATCTTTTTACTTCTTGCCAATTAAGTCAATCTGGTTAATTTTGGCTAGAAATCGATAATAAGACATTGGCCGGCCTACGTGGCGCTGGCGTGGATAATTTTTAATATTTTTCAAATTTTTTATTTTCTATTATTTTCTCTTTTTCTCTTTTTTCTTTTTCCTCCAGCCGGTCGTCGGACGTCTGCAATTGGCTAGAGAGGAGAGGGCCAGCAAGGTCGACCTCGCCAGCATAGGGCGATTCTCGCCCAGCCATGGTAAGGCCGAACCTTGTCATTGCTCGCGAGGGCAAGCCTCACCCATTGCTAGGGAGGGAGAGCCTCACCGCCGTTGGGCGAGGCTCGCTCGACCTCGCCGGCCCTTCCCCCTCTAGCCGGTTGCCGACGCCCAACGATAGGATGGAGAAGGAAGGAAAGGAGAAAAGAAAAGGAAGCAAAAAGAAAAAGAGAAAAAAGGAAAAGGAATAGACAAAATTTTAAAAATTTAAAAATATTATTAAAACTATCCACGTCAGCGTTACGTAGGCCGGTTGGCGTCCACATCAGCACTTTCCGGCCGAAATTGGTCAGGTGGACACAATTGGTAAGAAGTAAAAAGATTCATGACTCAATTGGCAAAATTGAAAGGTTTACAACCAAATTGGCAAAATTGCAATAGATTTAGGACTTTTTAGACAATTTTCCCAATCTGCCCACCACGCTCGCGACGAAGAATGAAACTCTCAGGCGGGCATTGATCGGTGATCGAAACCGGCACAATGGCGGCGTCGATGGGCAGCAAGGTAGACATGCTCTTTAAATTTTCTTTTGTTCTTCTAATCGGATCCTTGTCCCACCTCTTGGGCCACGATAGATTATTAGACTTTTCATACGAACGCATACGGATTTATCTCGTCCAAAATGTGGCGTCATATGTCGGACAAGATAATTATACCCTGTCTGGCCTCTTATTCAAGCCACCAAACACACCCCCGAGGCTTTTAGTCCCATCTCTCAAATATGCGCATTGATCACCCCCATGCATTGAACTGGGATACAACACGCTATAACCTATTGCATTTTAGTCGTTGGGACTTTGATTTGCAAATCCCACTAGATTTGTTTAGCCGGAAAAAACACACTTTGTTTTACTGACGATGAGAAGCTTGCCTTAAATGTGAAAGAGACTATGATGCAAATTTACACAATACCTTGGTTTCAACCCGGTCATCGACTTCAAAATGTTCCGTATTCTTCACGATCAACACGGGGTACACACATACGCCGTAGCCGCTAGCAAAGTCGTTCCGATCAAAACTCCATCCATTGCTTAATTCGCGCTAACACCAAGCTACATAAGCAATCAGTTGGATGGTTATACTGACTTATCTTGTCGAACTCTTCTTCTCCTTTTTTTTTGGAAGATTGAACTCCAGTCACTTGAATTCATGCGAAAATTTAAAGTGATTGTAAGAGGCCTTATATTGATATTACACGCAATTAGGAAAAAAGAAACAACCCGAGTGCAATATCTAGCACTTCCCTTTTTCTCTTGCTTTTCTCATAACACGTGGAATTTAACAATCTATCATACATAGAAAACGAGCATACATGTTATCCGCGAGGACTACCAATAATCTATTTTCGGAACAAACCACAAAATAACTTACAAGAATCAAATTGATTTCGAAAAATTTAATTTTTAATAAGGGTTAATAATAATATGAAAAAATCCAAACCGGTACATTTGTAATAAATTTACCCTAAATTAATTTTTTGATCAAAAAAACCCCAAATTGGTACACCCGTAAGTAGCGGTGTCAAAACCAAACAATATACCCGAATCGGAACACGAACCGACCCGACCGGATCCGAAGTTTTGGGTATTTTCGGGTCGGGTTAACTTCATGTTCGGGTATTAGCTAAGCAAATGGGTATCTCAATGGTTTCGGTTCGGTTCGTGTTTAGAACACGAACCGAACCGAAACACATATATTTTTATTTTTTATTTTTTATTTTTAGAACCGAAACACATTTCACTTTGTAGCACTGTCGTTTAACTTCGTCCTCCTTACATGATGTGTTTGAAGCTAAATTATCCAGCTGACAGTGTTGGCTGTCTTCCTCAATAATCGAATCTAGCGCGTGGAAGCACTGACAACCGATGGGAAGATCGTCGCTTGCATCCGCAACCACCGAGAAGCACGCTCTTTCCTGTCGAAAAACTCTCCTGTCAGGATGCGGGCGACGCTTAGCATACGGACCAAATAACCGGCACTCGCTACAGTAGCTAGACATATGTACTGGGAACACATTAGAGATCACCAGCGCACAGCAAGGAGGGGGAGGAGGAGTTGGCAACAAATTTCTCCGCCAAAATTTCCACTTTGCATCTTCCCATTTTCAAGCTCAGTCAAGCACGCGCACCCCCCTCAAGCCTCTCGCACAAACATCAGGACTTCAAATTTTACCAAAACAACGACAAAGTTCAGGCCTTTTTTCAAATTCTTTCAACACCCAACACTATATATCATCACAACTTAAAAGGGTACGCACAGAACGAGCGGAAATTCCCAGAAAAAGAACAGTCGAATTGATCGATCAAGATCAAGATCAAGCTCAGCCGCGAATAGAACGCAATGCTGCGAAATACAGACAATGTGATGCGAGACGCGGGATGGAGAGACGAAGCGCGACTTCACCTGCTCGTGAGGATGGACCGCCATTGAAAGCAAATGCGCTGCGCCAGAGAGAGAGAGATTCTAGCGGCGGCGGTGGTCGTTGTGCATCGTCTCAGCAACCCGACCCGGCCCGACCCAGTTTTGCGTTTCAGGTCATGTTTGGTTCGGGTCAAGAGTCCAATATCTTTTATGATTCGGGTCGAGTTGGGTAACGTGGAGACTAGACCCAACCCGATCCATTGACACCCCTAGGTGTAACTTAACCTTAATTTATAATAAAAATATAAAACACGAACCCGAACCGAACCGAACTAACCCGGCCCGAACCGAACCGACCCGATCATGCGGCTATATCATGTTCGAGTCTTGTTTCGGGTCGGGCCAAGCACACATATTCATTGTTTCGGGTCAGGTTGGGTATCATGAAAACCCGACCCGACCCATTGACACCCCTACCCGTAACAAATTTACCCGTTAACTTTCACGTGACGTCCATCGGTAAAAATTTTAACGGAAATTAACGGATGGAGAATTTGTCATAGGCGTACCGGTTTGGAGTCTTTTTTGTGGTAAAAAAGTTAATTTAAGGTAAATTTGGGTTTTTTGCGACGTTAATCCTTTAAATAATCGCAAGATCACGAAGACGATAAACTCAGTGAAAATTCTGGACGCCGGGGGGGGGAGGGGAATAACCTTTAAAGACGCCGAGACGATGCAAGAATCTTCGCCAGTAAAGAAAAGGTTCTCTCCGGGGGCATGGCCGACGACGACATATACGGTAATAATAATAATAATAACACTCGCGTCGCCCATGCAAGATCTTACTGGCTCTGGCGCCCCTGTTCCCTCCTCCACCATCTTCTCTCCCTCCTCCACCATCTTCTGGGACCCATCGCCCATTCCTTCGCAATTCTTTTCATTTCTGACGACCGATCACCCATCGTTTCTTTAAAGTTCCACAGTCAGGACTCATCATCTCTCTCTCCTTCACGATAATCTCCTCCTCCTCCTCCTTCTCCTTGATTCCCTCATCGTATAATCTCTCCAGATTCGTTGCTTTCCTTCAAATCCTCAGCAAACCCACCTCCACCGCCGCCGCCGCTTCTCCTTCTACAGCCCAAAATCCAACCTTTACACTCACAATTCCTCTCCCTCTCTCCCTCTTTCTTTCTCTCTCTCTCTCTTTGCTGTATATATGGTCGTGCTTTGATGTCCTGCGATCAAGGATTCAGGACTCGGTGCCTTTTTCCTTTCTTTTCTTGATTGAGCTTTGATGGGCTTGGCCTGAAGCTCGATTCCCGCGAGATTTGGAGCTTTCTTTGGCAATCGGTGAAGTGGGTCTCTGGTTTTGCGTAGTCCCAGAAAGGAAGGGGGGGGGGGGGGGGGTGACATGGAGAAGTACGAGGTGATCAAGGATATAGGATCGGGCAATTTCGGAGTTGCCCGGCTCATGAGGAACAAGGAGACCAAAGAATTTGTTGCCATGAAGTACATCGAGCGAGGTCGCAAGGTCCTTCTTTTGATCTCTCTTTTGTTATGTTTGATTTTTGCTTTTTATGGAGTAAAGTTTCGGAATCGTTCCTGAATTGCGGCCGCAACCTCAAGAACTGTACAATCCTGCAACGAGTTTGTTTACTATTGGAGTTTTAGCGTCGACGGGGGGATTGATTTTCCTATGGAATCACTTGCCGGTCTCATCAGTAACAGTAATTCCATTTGTTTTCCGGTTTCAGATTGACGAGAATGTGGCCAGAGAGATTATTAATCATAGATCGCTTTGCCATCCAAATATCATTCGCTTCAAAGAGGTCAGTACAAGAACAGGATTTGGAATATGACCGTGCCTTTGAGCTCGGGTGATGGATGATCTTTCATTCGCTATCAGACTATCAGTTGTTGATGTTTGGAATGTATATGCAGGTGATTTTGACGCCTACCCATCTTGCTATTGTCATGGAATATGCGGCGGGGGGTGAGCTCTTTGAGAGAATCTGCAATGCTGGAAGATTCAGCGAAGATGAGGTTTGCTTTTTCTCGATCAGTAAAAAATCGTAGTAAAGAGTTTTCGCTTTGTTCTTTTATTGTTTTGGAAACTTTTTAGAGTCTGTGATCTGATATTAGTTGCTGAGCGGATTCAAAACATACATTATGCATTACTGGTGGTTATCTGATATTCTTTGAAGTACTGATCAGCTTACTCTTTCTTTTCAATTCTCCAGGCCAGATATTTCTTCCAGCAGCTCATCTCAGGAGTTAGCTTCTGCCATGCCATGGTAAGATAAAGTTCCAAACTTTCTATTCAAGTGGCATCCTAGTATTCTCATTATTGTAGATTTCATCACTTGTCCTTTTTTCTCTTGTTCTTAAGCAAATATGTCATAGAGATTTGAAGCTGGAGAACACCCTCTTAGATGGAAGCGCTGCGCCGAGACTTAAAATATGTGATTTTGGGTATTCTAAGGTACAAGTGTGAAGTAGTTTTTGCAGCATCTTTACATTGGTTGTGCAATATCTTTACAGGGGTTAGGCTGATTCGTCGACTTATATCTTGTTAACTTGCCTTTAGTCTTCTGTGCTTCATTCAAGACCTAAATCCACCGTCGGAACTCCAGCATACATTGCACCTGAGGTTCTCTCTAGGAGGGAATATGATGGCAAGGTAAGTCATTTCATTAAAGCTGTTCATCTGTTAAGTCGGTCTTGTCCAGTTTTGGCCTCACGTGTCTGCGATGTTATATGCTAGTATTGACTTAAGCTCATTATGCATGGCCTTGCTGCTACTTTATGTACATTAAAAACTGCAAAACCTGTGGTAGAACTATTTTGGTGACTGGTTAGGCTTCTCTAGATATTTCCGACTTGTTTGATAGGCTTTTCAGTTCACAGGTGGGTTAAATGTGTTCAGGATTGGACTAATTATGTATCGTTTTTAAATTTGGGATCAGTGAGATGCTGTTTATTATCCCTCTGAGCTTCATTTTTATGTCTGAAATTGTCAACTGCCTTTATTTCATTGACATCTATCGTCTCATCTCCAACCCATGAGTATCCTCTTTTGTCTAGTATCCCTCTGTAATAAAAACATGAGTTTCGTGTAACCATGCCTAGCCATTCAGCACACTCTATACCCTTGGAATGCCAGTGTCCCTGAGTTTGGGGTTGCACTTATATTTAGCGGTCCTTATGAGTAGGCAATGTCAACCGTTCTTTCATGGAGGTCGTGTTTACTATAAATATGTGCTTTATTAGTTGGCAGATGTCTGGTCCTGTGGTGCGACTCTTTATGTGATGCTTGTGGGAGCATACCCCTTTGAAGACCCGGATGATCCAAAAAACTTCAGAAAGACTATTAGTGTGAGAATATACTCTTATCGTTCCATTTGACCAATGAAGGTGTTTTTGTTTTCTGATTTGGTGCAGTTTTTGCCTTCTGCAGCGGATCATGGCTGTTCAGTACAAGATCCCTGATTACGTTCATATATCTCAAGATTGCAGACATCTCCTTTCTCGCATATTTGTTGCAAATCCATTAAGGGTACGCAAGATGTCAATTTTTTAATTTTGTATGAGACTGTGAGAGTGAAAATGAAGTGAAAGGATGAGCGCAAGAATGACGTCAGAAAGCCTTCTTTTGGTGATTTATTGGATTAGCACTTAACTGCCAATAACTTCTTCTGTAGACAGTCATTGACCCACCCGTCTCCCCCAAAAAAATCTACTAGCTCTGTCTAGGATTTTAGATAATATTTTGGTTTTGTTTATATAATCGACTTCTTATCGGTCAATGAATTCATTCTGCTTCTTTCCTTTTCTTCAAGGTTTAATCTCCGCAATTTCATATTTTCGTTCTTGTTAGATAAGATATGCTGGGAGCCTGCAACTGCAACATTGTGCTCTCTGATCATAAGATAATTGCATCTTAGATCATTGGAGCCCCTCAGTAATTTACACTTTTCGCAATTGTGCCTTGATTCGCATGGGAGATCAATATTATACATTGTGGGTCAAAGTATTGGTTCATAGATTCTCTTGTTTCTGGTGAAGCATGCCTTCCATGGCCAAGTGTGCATGCTTTTGAGACTGCCTTATTTGTTATAGCATTTGTAGCATCGCTTCTCATAGTCTATGTTCTTTTGCAGAGAATCACCATCAAAGAAATCAAGTCTCACCCATGGTTTCTAAAGAACTTGCCACGTGAATTAACGGAGGCAGCTCAAGCAAAGTACTACAGAAGAGAAAACCCAAACTTACCGCGGGAATTAACAGAGGCAGCTCAAGCAAAGTACAGAAAAGAAAACCCAAGCTTCTCCCCTCAGAGTGTTGAGGACATCATGAAAATCGTGGAAGAGGCCAGAAGACAGGCTCCACCGTCGCACTCCCGCGGGAGCTTTGGCTGGGAAGAGGACGACGATGGTGATCCAAAGGAGGAAAATGCGGAAGAAGAAGAGGAAGAGGAAGAAGATGAATACGATAAGAGGGTCAAGGAGGTGCATGCTAGTGGAGAAATCCGTATCATTTAATATATCCGTTTTTCTGTCAGTATGGGTCTATAAGCTATTGAATGGGGCATCTATATAGACAAAGGTGAATGTTTGTATCCGAAGGAAGAGAGATGTCGGTTTTGCAATTAGATCCTGATGTCTGAGCGTGTGTAAATTGGTGGTTTACTTAATGATTGATTCATGCTGCTTGTGAATTTAGAGGGTATGGAGAACATAAGAGTTTGTAGCCTAATTGTGAAGCTGTGAGCTTGTAGTGATTTGTCAGCAAGGGTAAAATACAAAACAGCCGAGTGCCTCTTGTTATTATCATCATGGTTTTTCCTTTCTCTAGAGGTCATGCAGAGGAGAGATTCAGATGTGGCTGAGGAACTGAGACTCTGGTGATTGCTGAAGTAAACAGGTGGTGTAACAAGGGAAAAGTGTCAAAAAAGCCCTAAATCTTTTATATTTGTGCCAATTAAGTCCTAAATCTTTTTTTGGTGTCCATTGAGTCCTACACCTTTTATCTTTGTGCCAATTTAGTCCTTCCGCCTAATTTTGGCTGGATTTTGCTGACGTGGATAACTTTTAATAATTTTTTGAATTTTTAGTTATTTTTTTATTGTTTTCTTTTCTTTTTCTTTTTTTTTTCCTCCTCCGCCCTCCCTCCTCCAGCTGGTTGCCAGACTGGCGACCGACTAGAGGCTGGTTGGCGAGGTCGAAGGCCGCGGCCTCTAGCGAGGGCTGGAGCCTCGTCGGCGGCTAGACGAGGCACAACCTTGCCGGATCTGGCAAGGGCTTGAGCCTCGCCGGCGGCTGGGCGAGGTTTGCCGGCCTTTGGCCTCCGGCCGGCGATCGGCTGGAGGAGGGAGGGTGGGGGAGGAAAAAAACAAGAAAAAGAAAAGAAAACAATAAAAAAAGTACAAATTTAAAAAATTATTAAAAGTTGTCAACGTTAGCGCCGGTCGGTCGGCTTTCACGTCAGCAAAATCCGGTCAAAATTAGTCGGAATGACTGAATTAACACAAAAACAAAAGGTTTAGGATTCAATTGACACAAAAAAAAAGATTTATAACTCAATTGACATCAATACAAAAAGTTTAGGACTTTTTTGACACTTTTTCCGATGTAACTGTACCGTGACGGGGCTTTCTTATCTTTGGGGCACCCCCCTTTTCAGTTTGGTTCAAGGCATTTTGAGAAAAGGAATTTGCTCACGCCTCGCTCTGCCCAATTGCCCGTGACTCGCTGTCAACTGTCAAGGCTGCTTGGGACATTCTCTTTTGCCTTTTCTCGTCCTTTTTTCGATTCTGGTCCCCCATAAACGTGATGCTTTTGGTTTTCTCCCCCGTTCGGCAGTACCGGCGCTTCATCATTTGACCATTGAAACTGGAACGAACTTTATGATTAATTGATCTGTCTTTTTCGTGGTTAAATCAACGCCACGGAGGGGAAAATGTTAAGCATAGATTTGAAGGACTTCAACGGCCTTCGAGGGAAGATTTGTTCAGCTCTTCGTTTGGGGCTCTGCTCGAGCGTGGAGAATACTTGTACTGACGATGCTGTTCTTGCTTTGTTGACCGTGGCTGTTTGCTTTGTGGAGATGTTTATGATGTTTTGCCCACGAGGCTCTTGGACTGGTGATTTTTGTGGGCTTGATTGTGTTATTGTTTTTTGCATGTAACCATAAATCTGATAAAATTGTCCAAAAAATCATAAATCTATTGCATTTTTTTCAATTTAGTCATAAACCTTTTAATTGTGACAATCGAGTCTTAAAACTCTTCACATTTTGCCAATTGAGTCCATCTGGCTATGTGAATGCCAGCCGTTCTACGTAGTGAAACTAGCGTTAACGTGGGATTTTTTTTATATATATTTTACATTTTTTTTGATTGTTTTTCTTTTCTTTCACTTTTCCTTATCTACTTTTTCTTACTGTGGTCGTCGGTCTTCACCCAACCTTGCCTAGATTTGGACAAGACAACCTCGCCCGCGCCGGGCAAGGCTGGCCTTACTCAGGCCATCGCAACCTCGCCCAGACCTAAGAAAACGACAATATTGTGAGAGAGGAGGCCAAGGAAGATGGACTTACGTTGAGAGGAATCAGAGGCACAAGGTTGGACAAGGCAAGGGAAGTAGAGGTTCTCGAGGGACGATAACCTCTCTGCGATCCTTTGTTTCACTTTGCCATCGAGGTCGCAGGTGAGGCTACCTTGTCCAAATTTGGGTGAGGCCAGGCGGGGCCTAACGACCCTAGCCAGCCACGGTAAAAAAAAGTAAAGAAGGAAAAGAGAAACAAAATAAGAGAAGGAAAAAAGAAAAAAAAATCGAAAAGAATTTCATTTCAGCGTCAGTCGTGCAACATAGGATGGCCGTTGTGCACATCAATGAATTCCCACCAATTTGGTAAAACGTGAAAATGATTCAATTAGCACAAATAAATTTAAGATCTTTTGATAATTTTCTCCCATAAACCTAACCCTCGAATTGGGTCTCTTATTCTTCCTTAGCCTTTTTCAATTCTTTTGTATTTATAAGCATATTTTATTAATCTTGACCTACTTCTTAATGAGAATTTTAAAGCTTTTTCAGAAAGAAAAACCCCCGACCCGACGATTAAGCATTTAGCTATTAACGATAAGCATGTCATTGGATTGGATCGGGCTTTTATGATACCTTACTCGATTCGTAACCTACAGTGGCACGCTTGACCCGACACGAGATCCAATTCAGCATACACCCCAAGAGACATATTAGGTCGCGTTTTTGGGTATTTTTTTTCAGATAGATTAGAAAATCGACCCAGATTCGCTTCCTTAATCCAACCCTACATCAACGCAAGCACCCTTGGCCAATCCCCACTCTCCCCCTCAATCCCCGCTCTCCCCCGTTAACACATCACGCCAAAGAAAGCTCGAGTCTTTACACTTCAACAGTGGCTGGAGGCTGGAGGCTGGAGGCTGGAGGCTGGAGGACGGACCTAATGGGACCCGACGCAGTGCCCCGGCCCGCCATGGGAAAACCGGGCAACCCGATTCGCAAAGCCTATCTAATCTCACCGGCGGTGACGAAATCCCCGATCAGCGCAAGCAATAGCAGCAGCAGTTTGATAAGATAAGCACACGCCTCCCCCGCCCCCCTCGCCTCGGGGAATCAAACCGTCAGTGTCAGAATCTATTGTATCATCATCTCCGACTCATTCTCTCCTTCTCCAATCAAAATCCAATCGATGCCCCTCCGCCATTGCCGCCGTACCTCCTTCGACCCTCTCGAATCCCTCTGCTCCCGCCGTTGTTTTCTCCTCCTGCCGTTCGCAGCCTCGTGAGCGGCGTTTGGATTGAGCCCTCGCGATTCTTCCCCTCTGGATGGACCTGTCGAATTCTCCGTCGGCTCTCTCCCTGGGCCTCCTGTCCCCCGGATCGAACCAGGTGTCCGATGATTCGGTCTCGCTCCAGCACCTCGACGGGAAGCAACCCGTCCCTCTTGAATTGCTCGAGCCGCGGTCCCGGAAACCCGAGAGCAATGCCGGCGCCGCCGCGGCGGGCGCGGAGGTCGGTGAGGACGAGGACGACGCGGACGTGGAAGAGTTCCGCATTTTGGGCCACTGCATCAAACGGAGGAGAGAGAGCGAGTCAACGTCTTCTTCCACCAGCTCCTCCAGAAGGGTTTCGAGCGCTTCGGATATGGAGGCGAGGAGGGCTGCGGTTAGGTCGTGGGGGAACGAGTCGATGAGCGTGGCGGACCCCGATCTTTTCGAGATAATGGGGAGGGAGAAGAACAGGCAAGCCAAGGGAATCGAATTGATTGCCTCGGAGAATTTCGTGTGTAAAGCGGTGATGGAAGCGCTCGGTAGCCACTTAACGAATAAGTACTCGGAAGGATTGCCTGGTGAGCGGTACTATGGTGGGAATGAGTACATCGATGAGATTGAAACTCTTTGTCAGGAGCGTGCATTGGCAGCTTTTGATTTGGATTCTGAGAAATGGGGAGTGAATGTACAGCCATACTCGTGCACTTCTGCAAATTTCGCGGTTTACACGGGGCTTTTGCTCCCTGGGGATCGGATCATGGGGTTGGATACACCGTCGGGTGGTAATACTAGCCACGGGTGCTATATGCCCGATGGAAGGAAAGTTTCTGGGGCATCCATATTTTTCGAGAGTTTGCCTTATAAGGTCAACCCACAGACTGGGTACATTGATTTTGATAAACTTGAGGAGAGGGCAATTGATTTTCACCCCAAGATTCTTATTTGCGGGGGAAGTTCGTATCCTCGCGAATGGGACTATGGTAGGTTTAGGCAGGTTGCAGACAGGTGCGGTGCTGTATTGATGTGTGACATGGCTCAAGTCAGTGGTCTTGTTGCAGCTAAGGTGTGAATTTTATGTTATCTATATAGATTTAGCTTCCTGCTTCTCATCATTTATACCTTATGTATTATCTCGAGTGTCGACGGCTGTGGCATAACTTCCTTTGTGTTTCGGTCCTTTGCTTTATTGTTATCTTTTTTTTTTTTTTTGTTGGGGGGGGGGGGGCGTTGGGTGTGGATTTATTTGTGCGTTTGTTTCATAATGTCCTATTCAAGGTGAGGTAATACTTGCCTTTTCTTATTTGTTCCTGGTCAGACTGTATGTCACTGCGACCTACTTGGTGAAAGTAAATTTTGTGAGGAGACGGTTTCTTGGTGGAACTCGGTAGTTAGGGACTTATTTTGATGCAGATACTGAATCAGTTCATTCACTCCTTAGATTAGATTGGTGGGAATTGGCATAAAGTGATTCCAGTTTACCTCTACCTGATTGGTTGAACTAACATCTGGTACCTGTCAACACAAAAAAAAAAAAAAAAAAATCATCTAGTAAGGCGAGACAACTGCTCTAGTTAGTTTGTCTGGCCAAAAAGCAACAGTAGTTACGTTACTAGCGATCGTTTCTTTAACAGCATTATAGAAGCATCGATGGAGGTCTTAGTACCATCTGTCTTCTCTCTTGTTCCCTGATGCTGTTCCTGCACTGGAGATTGAAATCCTTGAAAGTTTTACCTTTTTGTGCAGGCAAATTGTATGGATATCAGCTGCAAAGTTCTTTAATTTAGTGGTCCTCTTTGGACATATTACTCAGTACTCACGATTGGAAAACTAAATGGGTACTTGGCAATGACAATTACAGGATCCTTTCTAGTACTAGTGGGGTTGAATTTGATCTCTGATTTAAAATAAATAAGATTCACTGTGCTGGGTAGGTTCTGCTCACATTATTATCATAAATAGCACGTTATGTTTCATTAACTCTTGATGGGAAATTGAAGAAATAAAATTTCGATATTAACTTAACTTAAAGTTTGTCAGAAATTTGATAGGGATGTTCCCCTTTTTTGTGGCCTTAATGAGTCATATCTTAAAAACTGTTGAAAAAAATTCAACTTTAATGATAAAAAGATCAGAGAACCAAGTGGGGGCAATAGCCCAACTTTCTATAAGATTAAGCCCGCCGTTGGTAAGTGGCACTTATTCTGCTGGTTGAATGGGGGGAGTCCTCAATGAAGTAGGTGGTTTGATGGATCTATGTTTTAGTTCATATCCACCACAGTCCAACTTAACAATAGATAAAGGCTTTATTTGGTGTATTGAAAAAATGTATGGAAGAAATGGGAGGAAGCAGATTGAGGCTGCAGTAAAAGTATTTTGTCTAGGAAAAGAAAGAAACGCAAATGAAGTTGAAAAATAGAGGGGACTGTATTTGACACGCTTTCAGTCTGTCTCTCTATAATACACTCATCCTTCTGTTATTGATGAATATTTTCAGTTCCAAGTTTAATATTACTGAGGGAAGTTGTCGTTATATACGCGGGTGATGTACTTTCAGGAATGTGCAAGTCCCTTCGACTACTGTGATATTGTTACCTCGACAACTCACAAAAGTCTTCGAGGTCCTAGAGGAGGTATAATTTTTTTCCGGAAGGGTGCAAAGCCAAGGAAAAGAGGAACCCCTTTATCTCGAGGAAATGAAATTGAGTACTACAACTTTGAGGAGAAGATAAACTTTGCTGTTTTCCCATCCCTCCAGGGAGGTCCACACAATAACCACATTGCTGCTCTTGCAATAGCTTTAAAGCAGGCAGCCACCCCAGTATTTAAAGCTTATATGCAGCAGGTAAAGAAAAATGCTCAGGCATTAGCATCTGCTTTACTAAGAAGAAAATGCAGGCTTGTGACAGGAGGCACGGATAACCATTTATTGCTTTGGGATCTAAGGCCTCTTGGATTAACCGGTATGCAATCTGTGAATGCTGTGTCTTATATGTCCATTTTCATGAAGATCAAGCTGATGTGATTTGCGTGTGTTCATTTTTGTTTACTGAATTCGTGCTTTTCGTCTGTTGTCTCATTGATTTGTCTTTTGTGTTAGCCCAAGGGTTTCATGCTCTTAGCATGATGGTGAAGCTGGCTAGCTTTTCTTCATCTTTACTTGTATTAGTCCTCAAGTGAATCATTTGTCAACTGGAAGTGACATCTTAGTTGGCTCGAACAAGTTCATAAGTGACTCTGGAGTTTGTGTTGGTTGTTTACATTGTGACTAGGTGTCTCTGAATGTAAATTAAAAGGCACAAGATTATATCTGAACTTAGGTGCATCTGAAATTTTTTTTCAATAAAACACCTAATAGTATACAGTGCTGCCATATTGTGAGATTAGAAATTAGACGGGGCAAAATTGGAAGCTTTCTAGACCTTTTGCTAGAGTGGGCCAGGATTGTTGAGAACAGAATAATTTGAGAATTTCATTGTTCTCCCTTCTTGTAATTGAAAAGACAATTGAAGTCGACTTGTCAGCAACTTAAATCCTGTTTGGAGTGGCTTAAGATTTTTGGCTGTTACTCTCTTTTGAGACATTGACTAGAATAAACATTGTAATACTACTGAGGTAGTGAATTTCTATTATGTATTGCTGGCAAATATGATGCTCTGCTCTGAAGATCCAAGTGCTTGGTTTCTCCTTGAAACTTCATTTTTAATAGGGTTGGACACTGCTACTGTTGCATCATGATTAGCTTAATTTGTGTTAGTTGCATCATTCATTGATCCTCCCAATCTTGTTAGTGTGCTTGAATGTGGTTTATTTATGGTTGGTTACTATTTGCTGATGCACGTGGTCTACTCAGTAGTCGCAAATTGATTTCTTGTTTCGTTAAATGATTTTACAGGTGGGAACTATGAGAAAGTCTGTGAGATGTGTCACATAACTCTCAATAAGATACCAATCTTTGATGATAATGGCACCATTACCCCCGGTGGAGTGAGGATTGGTAGGTGAATTTACGAGATGCTTAAATTTGTAAGAGCAATTTCTTTGTCAGGCCTCGTTTTTATATTGGTTTTCAGATTTTATGGAGAAGTGATGCATTTGCAGGTACTCCTGCTATGACAACAAGGGGTTGTCTGGAGAGTGATTTTGAGATAATTGCTGATTATCTTCTCAAAGCTGCCCAAATTGCCAGCACAATCCAGAGGGGGCACGGCAAGCTGCAGAAGGCTTTTATGAAGGGTCTTCAGAGCAATAAGGAGATTGTTGAGCTTCGAACTCGTGTAGAGGCCTTTGCAAGTCAGTTTGCCATGCCAGGTTTTGACTTCTGAATGGATCTATTGGTTTGAGGATGCTATCTTTCCGCAGCATCAAGCCATTCGTAAGGTGCATCAATTATTTGAGAATGTAGTTGTTTATATGTCAAATTGGTGGCACAGACATTAATGGTACAAGATGTTGCTTGTGTCATTGCAGGGAAGAACAAAACATCAAGGAGCTTTTTATTTATTTTATTTTTTTTGGTAAAGCAAGGAGCTTTTTATTTATCTGGGAAAGATAGAGGTTTTGTGCCTCGTGCACGAGGCAGTGGAAACTTAGAGATTTGTGTCGGCCAGTTGCGATTGCGAGCTTTTGGCAGCCTTTGGTCTCTCTTTCCATGGACATTACACAGAGAGCAGGGGATTCCCAGCTTCAAAGTCGATACCTTACAACATTGTGCCCATTGCTTAAGATGGGGATTGCATTATGAATTAATAGTTTATATCGATGTTTCTCCTTTACCTTCATGCTGCTGCCTTGTTCCTGCTGAAGAGGAACAGTACGCAGGTAATTTTCCTCCTTGTGTATAGGCTCCCAACGTGTTGAATCAATTGATGGAGTAAATTGGTAGAATGAGTGGTAATTTACTTCTCACAGGATTTTGGGCCATGTAAAGTCAGTGTGGGGGGTAGCAGGGCCTGCAAGGGCTGGGACCTGGCTTTTCACCAGGTTTTTGGCTGTACATCCGGTTAGCAAGTGTAAACAGAGAAGGTTTGTTTTGTACGCATGACCTATTGGCGTCGAGATTTTGGCATGTTGAAATGGGTCTTTAATGTGTCTTTTAAAGGCAGTGCCAGTTTAATTGGCTCCCCCTTCCAGTTTGCTCCTGGTAGGCGTCGTTCTGAAAGATTCAGTGCGGTCACCTTAAATATGACTTTCCAAATTTTTTCCTCCTTTATATTCTTGTCTCTCTCTTTTTTCCTTATTGATGAGATTGAGCAAGAGTTATCATGTGTATCAGTTGCATTTTTGTCTCACTCTCTCCTTCCATTGGAATCTTTCCCGAGGGAGTCGGTATGTGATTATCATAGGAGGTTCCAGCAAGCACAGGCATACAACATCATGGTTCTGCATTTCTTGTCTTATGCATTCGTTGTTGTATCTTGTAACTGGCTCGCTCAGCAGCTTCGTCACAGTGTGACGAAAAGAGGAGAGAGAAGGAAACTGAGCAAAGCAGGGAGGAAAGTCTTTCGCATGGTTTCGGCATCGTTGACTTCAGTGCTACGTTGCGCTGTTAGCCAATTGAGAATTTCAGTAGTACATTTCAGTTTGATCACTCTGAGTTGGATCTAGTAACGTTCACTTTCGTGGAGTCAATTGTTTTCTGAGTAAGAGTCAGATTTTTGGACCCAGTTATCAGCTCTTTTTCACAATTGCCGATTATTCCGATAATTTACCGACACCTATTTGAAGAGCTTAGGCTTCCATTTTTTACATGCGCCTACTAATTTCATTTGAGTCGGTTACCAACATTTATTTCATTTTTTCTTTTGTAATTAAGTAACCGTATATGAAGCTATTAATCTTTGTTGGAAATTAACAAATATTATCTGATAAGTTTAACACATTGATAATTGACGCAATTCAATGTTGGTAAATTATTCAAGTGGTTGATAAATTTGAAAAAAATTAAAGTTTGCAAGTAACTCAAATCGAGTTTGTAAGTTCTCATAAAAGTCAATAATGTGACACGCTGGTAAATTTGGAAAAATTAATTGCTGTTAAATGCTGGTAAGTTTCAAACGTATGGCATGTCAATTAAGTTGACAATCAACTCTCTATTATTTGACAATTACCAACGCTTCATAAATTTTACCAGCGCTAAACATAATTCAGACTTTACACGTGCGAAGCAACAGTATCCTTCCAATTTTAGAGAAAGTGTAGCCTGTAGGAGGGGCAAAAGTCATTCAATGCTAAATTGACTTATCTCGTTTGAAAGGTTATAAGGTAGAATGTAAGTCTTGATTCCGCATTTCAGTAAAGACAGAAAAATCACTATAAAGCGAATGGAAAAATTCATATGCTGCTTCCTTGTCAGGGGAGGACAAATTGGGGATCGATAAATTAAGCGAGGATATAAGCACTTCCTACTTTTAACTACATTACAAGCATGCTTTTCGTACGCTGATAAACATTATTCATGAGAAGTTATAATTTTTGAAATCATCGGGATATCAATCGTCACTTGAAACCGATAAATCTATGTTGAAGTCGACACATATTACTTGTCTTTTAATTCCAACACTTTGCAAATGACAAATCATTAATGATTGACGTCAACAGACAATAACACCTCTCAATAATTCTTATTGTTTATTATCGACAATCTCACTAATGAGCTATCGATCAGTATCATCTAAATTAACTCATTTATTTACAAATGACCTCTTGAGCAGTGGTTTAAGCTCATCATCTCTTGATAACAAATATTAGTCAAATTTTTTTTTTTTGTGTGTATACATTTTCCCCTTTCAAAAGGATAGAATGATCTTGTCAATCTTTCGATTAAACCTTTTTTATGTTCCGCTTTCCCTTCTTTTCCTCGACGTAGGAATCGATAAGTTGAAAACTTTTCGTTCTGATGAGGTGTCCGACGTGTCGGGTTAAATTAATCTGTCATTTCCCGCGAAAGCAAAAATTCACGTGGCCACTTCTTTCATGAGCTCACGTGGCACCGTCTCGAAGAGACATCTTTCCCCTTGCTTTATCCTCCAAGTGGGATTCCGACACGTGCCCCCCCCAATTCCAGAACAGTCGCCTTGGACGGACAGAGAGACAGACAGGTATGTGTCCGAAGCGGCGAGTACAGCCTGGTTGCGCCACTCTCGCGCGTGGCCTCGATAGCTGTGTCTTCCTCCCTGATGTGCCCGAGTTGAAAAGAGGCGTCCGACAAGTGGCCATTTTTTTCAAACCCCGGAAGGCGCGTGAACCGGGAATTCCTCACGGCGAAGCGTCGCCATCACCACCGCCGCCGCCTCCGTCGTTTTCGAAAGCTCCTAAACGGGGGGGTCTGAAATTACATGTTTGGCCCTCTCCATCTCGCCCTTTGCTTTTCTCTCCCTCCGTCCGATTTTGCTTTTTCGTGAATTTGTTGAAAGAATATTGCGTCATCCTTCGCGATTTAAGTCGTCACTCCCACCCCAGCCCAAGAGAACCAAAATAACGGGCAAAATTTCTACAAGGAAAGTACAGTGCTTTGTACGATATTGTAATCATACGGCAAACATGTTTTATCATAACGCGCATACTTTGTTGAATAAAGTGATATTCTCTTATTAGATATTCAATTGGTTATTTATTTAATTATACACTTATGATTACAATTATGTGAATGTATTTATAACGCTATAAATATAGTACTCGATCCTTACCTCGGTTCGAGGGTACATTGTTTTTTGGGTGACGTGTGAATTTAATTTATTAGGCATCATTGTGTTTCGTTTTTTAAGTATAATCATTTTTCCCCAAATAATATTTCGAATATTTAACAGAAAATAATCTTCATGTAAATGTGCTTAGGAAGTCTAGGTGTTTTAGTATTAAACTGAAGTCTAACTCTCAAAGAATTACAACTAAATGTAAAAGTCCCATTTGGAAGAAACCTCCCAAAATTTGAAAACGAAAGAACTTGCTTTAAATTTCGCACAATTGTGGTAAAGTTGTATATGATCTTATATGGCAGTATTTGAATACCTTGAGGGCTTTCCATTTTAGAATGACAGATAGAAGTAACTGTATGAGTGTCACAAATCTAAACTAGAGAAGTAAAAGATGAATTCGCCCTTTCAATAGTCATTTGTTGCTCAAATTGAATAGTCCGAGAGTTTTGGCGATGAGAAAAAATCAGCAAACTGAGAGTGGAGTTAATAATTTGGGTTGTGACTTGACTTTAGTTGAGGACGGAAATTAATATACTTTTGCAAAGATAATGTTTTTTTTTGTCGGAACAAAATAAAGATGTCGTTGAATAGAACTTTTTCGCAACCGTTTTAATTGTGAAAAGGAATATCATAATTTTAATCGGGTATTTGACCAAACATAAAAGTTCTTTTTGGGGACGGCCTTTAAAACATGTGTTATCAAATATAAAAGTTATGACATTTCACTAACACGCTTTTTTTTGGTCAGAAACACTAACACGCTTATTCAAGCAAAAACTTCGTGTGGTCCCACATCCTACCGCGTGTCCCAACACCGCAGAAAGCCATAAATATTTTGTAATGTTCTTTTTTTTCGGGTGAATTTCCTATAAAACTCCAAACTTTAAATCAAGTCCCAAATCTGCCTCGAACTTTTTTTTTGTCTTCGAAAAAACCCTAAATTTTAGGTCCAGTCCTAAATTTGCCCTGAACTTTTTTTGTCTTAGAAAAAAACTCCAAACTTTAAGTCCAATTCCAAATCTGCCTGGATTTTTTTCATGTAAAAAAAAATCAGCAAATTTCAATTTATTTTCAGAAATATACCCCCTTGTTTCAATCTAACTTGACGTGGCACTTCCATGTCGATAAAAAATCCACATCAGCAAAATAATGGGGCAATAGGTATAGACCGACGTCGCATTTCCACTTCGATAACAAATCCAACATATTAAAATTGTTGAAATTCTCCAAAATAAAACTATTATAGGATATGAAAGTTAGGGACGATAACAAATCCACAAAACAAAATTCAATTTAAAAAAAAAACCTAATTTTTAGGTTCAGTCTAAATTTGCTCTGAACTTTTCTTTATCTAAAAAAAAACTCAATTACTTTGTTGATACGGATTTGTTATTGACGTGGTAGTGTCATGTCAAATTGGGATTGGATCACATGGTATATTTTTTAAATTAAATTGAATTTTGGTGATTTTTTTTCTCAAAAAAAAATTTCGAGCAGATTTCGGACATGACTTAAAGTTTAGGTTTTTTCTAATACAAAAAAAAGTTCGAGATAGATTTGAAACTTGATCTAAAATTGAGATTTTTTTACGGAATTAGGCCTTTTTTTTCCCCCTTTGTCAGAAATTGTTTTCTACTCATCGTGAGGCCCAAAATCGTCAAAGGCTGTAGGGACAGATGTCCTCCACGACAATCACATGTGGTTTTCGTTTTTCAAATCCGGATGTTGTTGTTGACCATTACATTTACCTGCCCCTCCTCCTCCTCCTCGTCCTCCTCTAGTCTTCCTTTATAGTCGTAACATCACATGATTTTGCAATATCATCAAGTAGGGCCCGATTGAAATTATTTTTTGCTTTTCTCTTCTTTCTTAATTGCAATTTTGCGTATGACTCTCTCCAACGTTTTTTTGATATTTGAAATTTTTTATATCGGAAGTGCGCAGCAAAAGTCCGATTCCTTCTCCCGAAAAAATCGTCAAGAAGGAACCAAAGTTCGAGTCCATCAACATATGCCTAGTTTGACATTCACTCGAGAGCTTAAACTAACGAGTCATGAGTCAATTAAGATAAATTAACACAACTCTTCGATGTGAGACTTTTATAACACGACTCACATGTGCATTCTAACAATCTCCTCCTCACATGTGAGCTAGGTGTTAGGCCCGCTCGCCCTTTATTCAAGTATCATTCTATATCAACATATCTCAATTTGAATCTTCATCAATGTGCACATCCCTAGTCTTTTTCTCTAGATCGAACCATAAAGGCTGACATTTGAACCGTGTCGTTACACCACAACACACACCGTTCGAAAACCGCGTTGGTCACCAGATTCATTTCTTGAGATATTCATGAAACACCAATACACATTGAGAGCAGGCCACTAATTAACCACCGGTTCTGATATCATTAGTTAGGAGTGCGCAGCAAAAGTTTGATACCTTTCACCGTGGAGAACGCCAAGAGGGAGCTAAAGTTCGAGCTCGTTGACGTATCCAATTGAACCCACTTTCACTAAAAAACTTAAGCCAATGAGTTATGAGTATATCGACACAACTCTCCAATGTACGACTTTTCTAATACAATTTATATGTGCATCCTAACACTCAAAACATTCACTATACTCAAATATCAACATGTAAATTTAAAAGCGGCTTTTTCGTGAATTTTCTTAAATTCCGACGCTGTCTTCTTGAATTTCAACGGGACCTTTTGCTCCCGTTTAAGTTTAAGCGAGCAACCTTTGGTATCTTCGAGACGCAATCGTCCTGTGGAAGAAGATATCCATACTTTTTCTTTTTATATATCTAGCTTTAAGAGTTGATGTAACTAGAAGGCGAAAGATCGATCAATCGATTTAGAAATTAATCAGCTTTGTTTTGAAGGTCATGCTCCCTTACACTCCAAGCACTCCTCGTGCAAAACCCAGAGGCGGGCTAGTTTATAAATGCAATAATTAACTCCCCCACATGGGTTTAAAGATTTAAGGATTGCCGATCCATAGATTGGGGTGGTCGTTGACCAAATACAGTTCTTTGACTTGAGCTTCACGGAAGACATTGCATCCTCTCGCGAATCCCCATGTGATTGACCAAGCGCATTGGCACATTCCCCATAATCTAAGATCGTCATGCCCATATTCTATTGCAGCATCAATGTGAACGTTATCATGCGTGCGAAGATGCACAATGATCGAGTCACTGCTTGGCACCTACAATATACATTAGACCAATGCATGCATGTTTCGACCATTATCCCATTTTCACGCCACTCGAGAGTCCTCGTTTACGAAGATGCTAAATAGTTGACAGAGTATTATGAATAGATTTTTTTTTTCTCGCTACGACGGTAACAAGAAATCGAGTAGGGGTGCGAACATATGCTTACAACTTGCATAAGATGATTTTACAGCGGTGGTTCATGCTCGAAGGTGATTGCACTCGTATTTTGAGCTCGTGAACCGAACGATTGTTGATCGGCGTTCTAATCACATCACCCATCTTTCCTTATCACTTGGGATTAATTCAAATCGTCGAGAAAAAAGGACCAAACTTTTAGGTACTTATTAAGAAAAGCACAAACCAAACTTCCCCAGCACAATCTGACCCCACCCAAAAAAAAAAAAAAAAGCTTCCCCAGCACAAAAGGAGAGAGTCTCCTTTGGCTATAAACCGAAGGGAAGAAAGAAGAGGTGCAAAATTTCCAATTCTCCATATGAAAAGTTTGAATTTGACAATCGCAATCTCACCAAATCATTCAAGAAAAGTCCCAGATAAAAAAGATAGAGAGAGAGAGAGAGAGAGAGAAAGTGGAGTCAGAAAAGGGCGGAGGAGGGAGGGGGGCGTGGGGCCCAGGCGAGGGGCGCATCGGGTAAAGCAAGCAAACGAGATAATGATGGACGGATGGACGGATGGATGGACCGAGGCGGAGACGCGCAATTTGTGCGTACAAATATACCGTTGGAATAGGAGGGCCTCCCCGCTGCTGACGTGGCGCGGTGGAGGAATAAAGCGACGCGAATCACCCCCCGTACCCAAACACGGCAAACGCAAACGCTCCACCCGCAGACGCACGCTTCTTCTTCATCACTCGGCCTCCCCTTCCCCTCTTCTTCCCCTTCACAACTCCTCCCACTCCTTTACCAAATCCCCCCAACCAAACCCCTCCTCCCCTCCCTCTCTCTCTAGAATCGTTCTGTAGCAAAAAAGCTTTCGTCGAGGACTCTTCTCGTCTCGTCTCGTCTCGTCTCGTCTCCACCGAATCCTCTCCTCTCTCCGTCTCTCCGTTCGAGATCATCACCGTTCGCCGCCGCGGGAGACTCCGATTTTTATTGTTTTCGTTGTTGTTCCCGCCGTGGGATCGCCGGCGTCGGCCGCCGTTCGCTCCGATTTCGTGGACTCTCTTTTTCCGCCCCGCCGCCCCTCCATGGAAACGCCGGAGAAGCGAGTCGCCGGAATCGCCCTGGATTTCCCGGCCACCGATGGGGCCGCCTCCTACTCCTGGCCTCCCAGGATGCCGAGGTGGCTCCGGCGGAGGCTCCTCGCCGAGTGCAGTAAGTCTCCCGTTTCCGTGGAGGAAATCGAGGCCAAGCTTCGCGATGCCGACCTTCGTCGACAGGTTTAATTCGCGTTCAATCTTTCGTTTCTTGTTTTCCGCCAATACCTAGTCGTAGTTTAAGAGAGATCTTGGACTCGTTTCCGTCGTGCTTTGTTCGGGTTTTTGGACCGAGAATATTAGCTGATCGGTCGAGGAGGGTTTCGGACTTTGTTGGATTTTCGACTCGTTTCTCTGCTTCGTAATATTTTCGAGAGGTATCATATCGAAACCTGATTAGGTGACATTGAACCGTTGTCGGTGGCTGCCGGTGGATAAGTCGGCTATTTGTTGTTTTGTTGTTTTGTTTTTTTCGAGGGCCAGCATAAATAATAGCTTCTAATTCGTCATCTTTTGTCTCCTGAAAAACGATCGAAGTTTGTCTCTAGAGGCATCCTTACTGTTTTTCTTCCCTGTATGCAATTTTTCTACTCTAGTGTTCATCGGTAATCTTTTCTAACGCTGGCGTGTCTGTCCTTTTTCTTTTTTTTGGGCCAAAAGCAGCTGTTAATTCCTGGGGATTTTCCTTTTGCAACGTTTGTTTTTTCATGGTTACTGTAGTAGAATCATTATTTAACCATTTTCACATGCAATATTGCGGAATTCTACCAAATTTGGTCTTCACTTTCTGGACTGAGTTTTTTGCATTTTGTAGACGGATAGCTGGCTATATGAAAAGCCTTAATTACACTTGCTAGTCTGTTTGAGCATTTGCACCCTATTCTACCAAATCTGGTCTTCCCTTTCTGGACTGAGTTTTTTGCATTTTGTAGACGAACAGTTGAGTAATACGAAAAGCCTTAATTATACTTGCTAGTCTGTTTGAGCATGTGCTCCCTATCCATTACCTTGTGCAGTAACATGTATATTTACACGTGGGATTTTCATAATATAGCCGTTTGTCCTGCAAGTTTTGTGTTTCTTAGTTGCTTACTTTAATCATGCGTGGATGCGACTGTAGCTCAACCTATCTTGCACCTTTTTGTTTTCTTTTTCAGCAATTCTATGAGAAATTGTCAAGCAAGGCTCGCCCAAAGCAGAGAAGCCCCTCTCGAGCCTCCTCCAACGAGGAAGATCTGGGTCATCGACTGGAAGCCAAGCTTCAAGCTGCTGAGCAGAAGAGGTAAAACACTTATTCTGTACCAGCGATTCTTGTTGGTTACTGAAGATTAGAGGATGGTGATGGTTAGATAATTGTCATCACAGTTGCAGGCATTGTTGCTATATGTTAGGTTTTTTCAAATTCTGATTCCTGAAGACGTGGTTGCACTTCCTTCTGATATCTATTTCTCTGCATTTTATGAGTTGGTTTTTTGTCGAGAAGCCTATCTCTGATTAAGTACTACTTTTAGATTTGCTTCTAGTTGGTTTTGCAGACTGCCTGCGGATTAGTTGAGCTATTTTCCATGTCTTGTGGATGCCTTTTCGATATCTAGAATAGTGCACTGATCCTTTAAGGTGCTATACCCCTTATAACTCAATGATGTACTTCACTACAGGTTGAGCATGTTAGCTGAGGCTCAAATGCGCCTTGCTAAGTTGGATGAGATTAGGCAGGCAGCCAAAAATGGGGTGCAGCTGCGTCTAGAAATGAAGCGAGAAAAGCTTGGCTCAAAAGTCGAATGCCGATTTCAGCAGGCACAGGTGAATAGGATGCTTATTCTAAAGGCATATAAACAAAGAAGGGCTACTATAAGGGAGAGGTCATCCCAATCATTGTTGCGGAGGATGGCGCGTGAGAGCAAGTATAAGGAGCGCGTACGTGCTGCAATCAACCAAAAGCGAGCGGCTGCAGAGAAGAAGCGTTTGAGATTGTTGGAAGCAGAGAGGAAGAGAGCACGTGCTAGAGTATTACAAGTGCGCAATGTAGCAAAGTCAGTGTCTCACCAACGCGAGGTTGAAAGGAAGAAATTGCAGGACCACCTGGAAGATCGGCTGCAAAGGGTATATACGCATATATTTGTACAATTTTCACTTTTCATCTTTGAACAGTTCAGCGGCTGGATTTTTTTTCCCGGCTTTGCTAAGTGGTGTAGCTCTAATGAAAAATCTATGGACAGGCCAAGAGACAAAGAGCAGAGTATCTGAGACAGAGAGGAAAGCTGCGTGACTTTGTTAAACCGAGCCGGAGCATAATGCTTAAGCAGGCCGATCTCCTTTCCCGGAAATTGGCAAGGTAAGTAAAGCTTAGCAGTTGCCTGATATCTATGCCCACTGGATTGTTGGAGATTGTTGCTTGAAAATTAATAATCATGCTTAAGACTTTGGTCATAAATGTCCTCACAAATCTAATTCAAGGTTTGCTAGGGCTCACTTTTTATTGGTACATTTAGGTGCTGGAGGCGTTTCCTCAAAGTCAGGAGGACAACTTTCGACTTGGCAAAAGCATACAACATGCTTGGGATCAACGAGACACATGTGAACTCGATGCCATTTGAACAGCTAGCTATGCTTATTGAATCTTCTGATACCATTCATGCAGTTAAAGCCTTACTTGACCGGTTTGAGAGCCGGTTAAGAGTCTCTGGGTCCATTGCTGCTACCAACCAGAGGTCCAGTGTGGGTAATATAGATCACCTTCTCAAACGAGTGGCTACACCTCGGAAGAGATCCAGTGATAGGGTTTCAGCTAGGGGCAAAGAGTCTAAGAAAATAGGGTCTAGTAGGGAGGTAGCGAAAGGCCCAGCCAAACTATCAAGATATCCAGTGAGAGTAGTTCTCTGTGCGTACATGATATTGGGCCATCCGGATGCGGTGTTTAGTGGTCAGGGAGAGCGTGAGATAGCCCTTGCTATGTCAGCCCGAGGATTCGTTCGAGAATTGGAGCTGTTGATAAAGATCATATTGGATGGACCGATACAGAGTTCAGATGAGGAGTCTGACTCTGCCTTGCCAAAGCGTTGGACCTTTAGATCTCAGCTTGCGGCTTTTGACAAAGCTTGGTGTGCTTATTTGAATAACTTTGTGATATGGAAGGTCAGGGATGCAAAGTTACTGGAGGATGATTTGGTAAGAGCAGCTTGCCAGCTTGAGCTGTCTATGCTGCAAACCTGTAAGTTATCTACAGAAGGAGAAACTGGTGTGCTTACTCATGACATGAAGGCTATTCAGAAACAGGTCTTACTCCTCACGACCATTCATCACTCATTGATGCAATGACTTAAAAATTTCTCAGCAAGGCAAACTTCAGATTTAACATGAATACTTTGGTCTTTGAACTGAAATTCTGTTTTCATGTGACGTCATCACTGCAGTAATTCAAAACTAATCATTTTTTGTACGGGTATAATTAGAATTATTGTGACTGCGTAGATGTCTCTCTTATGGGGGATTTTTTTAGGGCAGCAGCCAGTGATGCAACTGGGTGGGGAGTTATGTAATTTGTATTAGAAATGAATATGTAGATGGAGAAAATCATTTTTATCTCATTTCGAATAGTATAATGTTTTCTTCTATGCAGGTTTTTGAAGATCAAAAACTTCTGAGGGAAAAGATACAGCATCTGGGTGGGGATGCTGGGATTGAGAGGATGGAATGTGCTCTTTCTGAAACACGAAGCAAGTACTTTCAAGCTACAGAGGAGGGCAGTCCATCAGGTTCACCAATGACCAATGTTTTTTCTCCAGGCTCTGCAAGCTCCTCTGATGGTTCCTCCATTGCAAGCAATGAGAGAAGGAAATTGAGTGAGGATGTTGAGAAGCCAAACCGTGTTGTTCGATCTTTATTTAGAGAAGATGTAACTCCTTTGCCAAATGAGTTTGGTTCGTTATCACTGGAATCTGATGGTCGGACAGGGACTTCTGGCATACAACTGGCGAATGAGAATGAAGTGATTGTGAATGCATTACTCCATGAGCAGCGTCCTGTTCTTCTAAATGGTTTCAGCACTAAAAGTGACAATGAAAATTCGATTAAGGTCGGTGGTCTGATCTCAACATTCAGTTATAGTATCAAATTTTCTAGATCTATTACCATGTGAACTTTTATACTTTCAATTACAGTTATGTCAACACTGTCTCCTGCTGTCTCCTGAAAGCAGGGAAAAATTAGACAGGCAATGGAAAAGGCTTTTTGGGATGGCGTCGTGGAGTCCATCGAAGGAAATGACCCTCAGTATGATCGTGTTGTTCAGCTTATGATGGAGATGAGAGATGAAATTTGCGATATTGCTCCACAAAGCTGGAAGGAAGAGATCACTGAAGCAATTGATTTGGACATTCTCTCTCAGGTAGTCCATTCTCTATCAGTGAACTGATCTCCATGCTCCTGTATAGTTTCTTTCATATCTGACCAGATTGAAATTTGGGAGGTGCATCAGCAATACACTGATGAATTCATAGTTAATCATTCGTTACTTTTTATGTACTTAATGTGTACTTGACTAGTAAATTTTGATAGTAAACTTGTGCGCATTGCACTTACTGTGAAATCAGTATGATCAACAATTTATGGTCTTCTTGTCTTAGGTTTTGAAGTCTGGTAACCTGGACATTGATTACCTGGCAAAGATTTTAGTGTTTGCATTGGCTACTGTGCAAAAGCTCTCTTCTCCAGCTAATGATGATAAACTGAAGACCAGTCACCAGCAGTTACTGAAAGAACTAGCTGAGATATGTGAAGAAAGAAATGACTCAGAGAATTCACATGCCATCGCTATGATAAAGGGTCTGCGATTTGTTCTGGAACAGATTCAGGTGCCCGTGCTTTTGCTTATGTTGCTTTTTTGTGCAGTATCTTCGTCTTTAAACTATTCTAATTTACTTGAGCTCTTTCGTGCTGGATTGGTAATAACACTATCTTCATCTTTAAACTATTCTAATTGACTTGACCTTTTTCGTGCTGGATTGGTATTAACAGTATAGAGATGATGAAAAATTGCTGTGCCTAATCCATGTTGGATTTTTTTTTTTTTTTAAATCCCTGGTTATAGGTCAGTTGGATGGGATTGCTCTTGCGTAATGTCATCTTTGTGAGAATATGAGACTTTTGATTTGGTAGGCTGATTAAATTAGTTGAGTTGTTGATGACGCTTTCCAAGGTTGGAATAATCACCCATTGTACGCATGAGTAGCCTAGTTTGTTTTTTGTTATTTAGATTATATGTGGTGCGTGAGATACCCGGTGTTGTGCTCAGCTACAGAAAACTACTGCCTTGTTGGCACAGCATGTGACAATTATATAATGGTGTATTATTTTTATAGGCATTAAAGCTTGAGATTAGCCAAGCTCGCATCAAAATGATGGAACCTATACTGAAGGGACCTGCTGGATACGATTACCTGAGAACTGCTTTCTCTAGTCGTCATGGACAACCTTCAGAAGCCCTCACAGCTCTGCCAGCTGCTGTGCAATGGCTCTCATCTCTTAAGAATTACGTTGACCAGGAGTGGAATGAGCACACTACGTCTCTCTCATCATTGTTGAGCCAGGAGAGTTTATCTCAAGGCTATACGCCTCCCACAACCCTCAGAACTGGGGGAAGCTTTCTGGTGAATACAAATGGCAATCAAACTTCTCTTCTACCCGGTGATTCAGGAGACAAGACAGGTATCGTTGCAAAGTTGGTCATAATACTTTTTGATGTTGCTGGATCTGAAAATTTTGCGGTAATTGAGGTCTCCTTTTGTTTGTGCACCAGGGAATCAAATCCAGGAGTGTAAAGGAGAAAGAGTTGACCTGTTTGTTAGAATTGGCCTGTTAAAGCTGGTCAGTCGAGTATCTGCTCTAACGCATGATGCCTTGCCAGAGACTTTCGTGCTTAACCTCCCCAGGTTAAGGGCTGTTCAGGCTCAAATGCAGAAGATCGTGGTAATTTCTACGAGGTAATAACTCAGGCGGATCTGACTCTGAACAGTCGGTATTTACTAATATGTGACAAGGAATTAGGGAATGGCATGAGTTGAAGTTGATACTTATTAAAATGTGACTAGGAATAGGGGAATGGCATAAATTGGAGTTGATGCTTACTAAGATGTGACGAGAAATAGGGAATGGCATGAATTGAAGTTATCCATGTGTCCACAAAAATTGGTGTCTTTTCAGTTTGTAAAGGATGTGCTATAGCAATTGTCCTGTACTGCCATCGGCCATTTATTGAGATGCCTGTTGAACTTGTTTGGAAATCACTCTTGCATTGCAGCATTCTTGTTTGCCGACAAACACTCCTCAGCGAGCGAGTAGTAACGAGTGCGACAGACATGGAAGGCATATTATCAGACTGCATTCAGAAAGTGACGGAGCTTTTGGACCGTGCTGAAGATGTGGGTATTGAAGAGATTGTTGAGATTTTGAGCAAGTTTCCAGTGAATGGTGAAGAAGCTGTGGATACCCAGAGTCACCAATCAAGGAAAGTGGTCATGGCTAGAATGCTGGCAAAGAGCTTGCAGGCCGGGGATCCTGTTTTTGAGAGGGTCTCGCATGCTGTTTATCTTGCTGCGAGAGCGGTCGTGCTTGGGGGAAACGCTCCCATTGCAAAGAAATTGGCGGAAACGGCATTGCGGCCAATTGGTGCAGTGGTGTTGGCTCCAAGGGTGGTCGAAGCAGCTGAAGTTTTAGCAGTTGCGGCCTCTGTGTCGGTGCGTGTTCATGGACCGTGGTATGGTTGTATTGTGGATAGCGTGTAGTTGGTTTGTGTAAAGAAGGGAGCATAGGGGACGATGCTGGAAATGCACACCACTGTAAATAAGCAAAGCCATTTATGCTTATTTCTGTACAGCTTCTTATGTCATAAACTGTGCTCATTAGGTGGATAGAATACTGTCAGGGGGTTTCGACTGTAAATAGGATTTTAGCGTGTTATTTTTAGTCGGAGTCTGAAACTTCGCGACAGAAAATTGGGGATGTTGGTCATATTCTTCAAGTATTCTCTGTTTTTCGTAAGCCTACATCAAACATCTCCTGCTTTCTCGCTAAAAATTTGTGCCGTCCCAGGATCTATATTGGATCTTTGATTTGGGCTTCTCCAATGCCAATTTGAGGCCGAGTAAAATGCTAGAGATGGCCCAAATTAAGCCACGAATAACCCCGGAAGGGCCTGTTCATGGACAAGATTCTCGAGTCCCAAATGAGGGCAAATGCTGGGCCTAAGCGAGGGCCCAGAATAGGACTAATGGGCCGTTCAAGAGCCCAAACTCGGGCAAGCGAAGGCCCTATAATAGGCTAAATAAGTGCACAAATGGGCCGGCCGAGACCAAAAAGGGATCGGACCGGGAAGCCCAAATTAAGGTTCAACAGTGGGCCGGGACCAATTAAAGGTCCGACTAGGCCCGCGTTAAGTCCCGAATAGACCAGCCCGGCCCAAATTAAGACCCAATATTGGTCCGGGCGGAGCCCATGTTAAGGCCCAACAATGTGCCGGGCTAGGAACATGTTATGGCCCAATAGTGGTCCAAGAGGGCCCAATATAAGCCTAGTGAGATGGAACCAAGCCAGAATCAAGTTAAGGCCCTGAAATGGGCCGGGCCGGGCCGACGAAGTTTAGGCCTAATAATGAGCCCGGCCATACGCAAACACCAAAGAAGTGGGCACATAGGCCCATCTAGCCAGGCAATTACCGAAGGGGGTCAGCTTTAAGCCCAAAATTTGGTCAGGCAGGGGCTCAATAATATTTTCGGTTAGAAGAATAATTCGGCAAGGCCGGGCCGACACCCGAGATCGGATTTAAGCAAAACACTCAGGCCCACCTATGCCTTATTTAGTATGCAATTTTCAGTAGTCTCCGAAAGCATCACAAGAAAGAGGTTAATCCACCAAAAGAATTTACAACTTTTCCCTATTTGACTACATATAACCAAGTGTGTACTAGGGCATTCTCACAAAATCTGAATGTTGGCTTTTCACCTGTGGTTTGATCAATCGGAGAAGAAATTTCACAATCAAGGGCGGCATTTTACGCGTATACAAATAGGCCAGTTAAGTAAGATTATTCGGTTGATTAACAAAAACTTAATAGCAAAATGAATAGCTTGCTTCTCTAAAAAAATTTAGATCTCTACCGGCTACCTTGCCTTCTCACAGCCTCCCCATGACCTCATTTTCTTGATGGTGCGTCTCTGTCCCCATCTCGATAGCATACTCACCCCATAACCGCTTGTTTTTGCTTAGTTGATGCAATTCCAAAACAATATTTTGTTGATAGTTAGCCCTCCAGCCTCGATCAGGATGACAATTGGGATCAATCACATCATGGCCGAATGAGCATTATATTGAGATGGCACAATGCCATTACAGCTCTGACTTAGACTCAAGGTCAACTTCTTCTACTGATGGCTCATCAACCTGTGAACCCTGCGACTTATCCGAAGCCCTTGTTTCTTGAAGTTCAGATTCATCCCTAAGAATTTTTGCAGTAAACGTTCTTGCCTCTAGGTCGAGATCAGGCCATTCAGAAACTATTCTCTTTGCACCCTGAGAGGACAACAAAACAAAATTAAATCATAACGCTGAATCATTTTGGCAGTGGGAAAAGAACCACCCAACCCAATGAACTTACCTGAAGCTTGGGTTCCTTTGTCATAGGATTGTTGCAAAGATCAATGGTCTTTGCCTTGGATTTGGTGGCTGTACCGCACCACGACTCACACCACAACCATTCTTGGGGTAATGAGAAGATAGGCACCATGTGCTGAGCATAATTCGGGAGATCCTGAAGCATGAGAGATGGCACTTAGATACACAACTAATATGTGAAGTACCTTTTTAGAGATATACAATTATAAGCTCGCACAACGTTATAATACATAAGAATCTCTCATGCTGAAGAATTTGCAGTTTATTATCCAAGAACCGACCTGATCAAGATTGGACAGACTGTTTGGATCCTTGCTGAGAGATTCGTAGAAAACTCTCAGGTTATCTCCTGCCGCAGTCTCTCGAAATTTCAACAAATCAACAACGTACAGTGCACTGCAGAATGATATCAGAATTTAAGCCCATCTATGATACCAACGGAGCCAAAAGGATCCTATGGACAGAATGTAACTGCCCAAAAACCTACCTTATATGATATGGTCTTCCGCGTAAGTGCTCCTTCCAGAAACCCTGTTTTTGTGAGAAAATAAGAAAAACTCACTTATGGATGTAGTCAGTAATGATCTGAAAGGGCAAGAGCCTTCTATTGCTTGGAATAAAACACAAGAATAGATTGATCTGAAAAGGCAAAGGCCTTCTATTGATTGGAATAAAACACAAGAATAATTAATTCAATATGTACTTGTCTCCAAAAGCGATATCCATCCATTTCTTTGTTGTTGTCACAAAAAGGAGTATATGCAAGCGGTCTTCCTTTCAGATCCATGTCATAAAGTTCTCCCATGTCTGCTCGCACCACCTGATCTGCATCAACAAATATAACCTGTTGCAAAGAGGGGTCAATGCATTTTGATGTCATAGAGAACTGAAAATAGCATGAGTAGACAGTCAAAAGGCAAAGTCATAGATATCGCATGCTTACCTTCTCTAGAGAAAGGGGAAAGATGACATCTAGGAACAAAATTTTATATGCCCATATAATCCTTTGCTTTTCCTTCTGCTTATGCAGCCATGTAGGCCACTTGTAGGTGATCAATTCATAATCAAAACCATACTCATGAGCCATATGTGGGATCACATCCTACAAAGTTCAAAGCAGAAAAGTATGCAAGCATAAATCAATACTTCTCTTAGTTTTAGTGAGGGTAGAGGCTGTTAAGAGACACAGAACAAACCTTAAATTGAGGGGAGAGATAATTTTTTATGAACCAGAATTTTACAGGGCGCTGCGTATTCTTCAGGACACTCAAGATCATGATTTTCAAGAAACGTTCGTACCTGCCACAAGATGTCATGAAAATGTTAAAGCTAGGACAAAGAAGCAAAACTATTAGTCCTGTCACAAAGTACTACAAACATGTTTTATCATAAAGCTTGCACCTGATACCGATTGGTATGTCCAAAAATAATTATATGTTATGAGAAATTACTTTAGGACGTGAAAACTAAAGTTTACAAATAATTAATAAATCATGCATGCAATATTCTCAACAATATAAGAAAGATCTTGAAAGGAATTCTTACAGGTGTCCAGAAGCAATAGAAAAGATGTTAATTGGTTTTCCATGCCTTCCACCCTTCCCATGCTCCTAGGGAAATAGAGTCAGACATACAATGAAAATAGGTTAGAAACTTGCTCTATACCTCAGATGAAGAACTATTTTCATGTTCTTTCCTTCCGTATACATAAAATGAAACACAACGTGAAAATTTTGTAACAAGAAACCGCTCCGTAAGATGGGAGTTGAGATGCGCAAGACTTGATAGGCATAGTTGAGAGCTTAATTTACCAGATGTTTGAGTTTGTAATTTTCTAGACATGAAATGAATAGGATTCACAATCCTCTGTATTAGATCACAATGTGTGAAAAATACAGATGGAAATATCACCCCATCAGCTACCAAAAATAGCTTGTTGACTTAACAGAGTCAGATATCTACAATCGAAGGATAGAGTTCGCTTCATTGCTTCACTGCTAGTTGACATGTTAGGCACCAAAGATGAAAAACTAAAGAGAGAACTTACTTGTGCCATACTTCTACTCCCTGATTGCTCACTGCCACCAAGTAAACTAGATGCCCATTTCAGTATGTTAGAGTTCCAATTCTGGGTTCCCTAAAAAGTTTAGAACAGCTTCATCAGTGGACAAGCTATACTGAAGACAACAATATCCAAAGAAACAAAAAAACAAAAAGAAGAGAACTGACTCTCTTTTCTTGTGATTGGTGCTCATCATCGCTTGAAACTAATAACTTTTCATCTTCCTTGCCTTTCTTTTTCACCACTTCCAGGTGAACTACTTTTCCCCGCAAATCATTAATCATGATGCGCTTTAGTGAAGGCTCATTCCTGCTTCCCTCACCATCTTCCCTAAAAATATAAAGCTCAGAACTTCTGCCTGGAGCAAGTTGTAGTAACCAAACCCCAGGAGAAACTTTCATCTGCCAATAACCCAAGTTGGCCATAACAAGGGTATCCACCAGGTGAGGTTTGCTCTTTGTTCCAAGAATCAACTGAAGGCCACGAGGAGGTTCGTGGTCTTTCTCAGAACAATGACCTGAGTAAGGCAGCTCATGAGATGCTAAAAATAAATAAGCAAGCATTCAAACAAGTTAGAAAGGCCAAACTGGATCTCACCAGTAAGGACAAGTGCCTCGAGCTCAAAGACAGCTTGCAGGGTTCTTGTCTCTCCAAGATTCTCGAGCAAAATGTTATCCAGGTCATGGCTGAAGCATTTAGGATCAAAACCGCAATTAAAAACAAAATGAACAGTTTATGCAGTCAACCAGAAAAGATGATGCACGAAAAAAAATTCTTTGCTTATGAAAAGGATGCGGATGCATATCAGTTAGTGCAAGAGATCCGTTTTTGTTCATTTGTAGAAGAGTATCATACACAGCAATGACAGGCTCTACAAGCCATGGCTCGGGAACATCAAGATTCATGGTGAGAGTTTTTGACAACGGCATATTTGCAAAGAAAGCTCTAGGTCCATTTATTGAGTAGTCAATAGTGCTGTAATCCTCCTGCAAATTGAAATGGAAGTCAAAATTACAGTTGTCATGTCAAGCTTGAGAACATTTAAAGATATTCGATATTGATGATACCATTGTCGGCACCACATATCTGTAATAATTCTTCAAAGGAAGATCCACAAGGGAACTCTGCAAAGCAACCACTCTGTCAAACTAAGTAATAGATGGAAAAGCACAGAACTAGATTAAACACAACTTACATGATAGATAATGCAATATCAAGTAAGGTTTCTGTAAAGTTGAGAACAAAAGAGACAACAAAAGCAAAGCCAACAAGAAGACAACATGAAGATTTATTGCCGAATAAGAATAATAGACTTAGTTCCTCCCGGAGCGCATTAACCACAAAATTTGCCGTGCAATCTCAGTGTCACAGCCTTTCCATTGACTCAACTTAATACTCTCACACATCAATTGTTAACACAATGCACAATTTTGAATCACACAATAAATGACATCATACATCATAAACTTGCTAGGTCGTGTGTATGTGTGTCTGAAACCTGAATAACTGAGAAAATGCCTGAATTAAAAATTTTGGATCTACTATGTTCAGTTCAGATTTCAGGCTATTTCCTATATATGGGTTCAAATATAGTTTGAATGTTATAAACCCAAACAGTCTGAACCAAACTGGAAAGCGCACTAGAATATTACCCTATTTGTTTCATTAATTCCTTTAGGGTCTGCTTGTCCCGGCTTTTTTTCAATTGTTGTAGCTTGTCTTTCCAAAATTTGAAAACCTAAAAAGGAAACATCTTTAATATTAAAAGATTTTGAAAAGGATTGTAAAGACACTACTTGTCATCTGTGCATCTTTCGAAAGATTTAAGGTATATGACATTAATTAAAAGTCAAATTCAAATCTCTATAAGGAAAGGAAAAAACACATTGTACAGAGTAAAAGTAACTCCAGATAGACCTAGCTTCAGTCCAACAATCCCTCGTATCAAAGGCACAACTTGGAAGTCCATACTCTGTAATGCCTAATCCATGTGAGCATGAAAAAACAAAGCTAGCGAACTACTGATGATCAGTTGCTTCGTGCTGAAATTTTTGTCATCATCAGCCTTTTGCAAAAAAGCTACTAAGATCATATTTACTCCGTCTTCAAATAACAAGTAAAGAAACCGAGTAAGCTTATATAAGGGAAATGCTCCAGAGAGATCTTTATTTTACTGACCATGGGATTGAGTACAATTCTCATACTTGGCTGAACATACTTCGATAAGATGCGAAGAAGCGAAGCTAGCTTCTGCCCAGATGGACTCAAAGGATCAATGACCGCATCAACATGGAGACTAGCATTTGCATTACCCAACAAAACAGCGCTGAAAACACAAAAAAAGATTAGAAGTGATAAAGAGAGATCCACACTTAAAGAATTAAAGGCATGGGCTCTTAGAAATTAAAAAAGGTGGAAGATTTGCAGAAACTAATAGTCTGATAAAAAAGAAAAGCAACTAATTTTTGCCTACTTTAAATTTATTGACCAACATGTGGCAAATATGATTACTCTGGGCCCAGTTCCTCACAATAGTTGCCTCCTAATAGAAAAAACCACCGCAACTCAAACTCAGATTCCCACAGCCACCACCCTCACACCTATAGAATGATAAAAAAGGAAAAGGGACAAAAGGACAGAAGCCATATTTTTGGGTCCATTACAGCTGGATGAGCAATTTCCACTCCAAATGACGGTTGAAAGGGAATTAGTTGCACCTTACAGGATTGCTTATCAAACAATCCAACAATCAAAATTGGATCAATCGATCATATCAACTTGGAGGATAAGCAATCCAACAATCAAAATTGGATCAATCGATCATATCAACTTGGAAATCCTCTAACGGATTGGTCTAGAGAACCACCATTAAAAATTTAGAATTATTCCACCTCTATCAATCTTAAGGACTCAGATTGAACTCCTACTCGGCTGTTTTCTGAATTCGCCCATTCTTTACCCAAAAGGCCAATATGATCACTTCTTACTTCACAGTAAAGAGGCTAATGCTGCCATCAATGCACTTAGATTTCACTATTAGCAGTTTTATGCACATAACCTCATAACATTTAGAAATTTAATGTGATAAAAGGAAATAGCAGCATGACACAAGAAAACATAGAGAAGCCAAGAACATTTTATTCACCTCAAAGTCTTCTCCATAAATCTATATACATTTTCGAAGGAAAACCCAAGCGATATAGTGTTTATCGCAAAAAGTTAATAGTTACCTGTTCTGAGAATTCAAAACCTCAAATCGTGCACTTTCAGAACTCCGTTCGCGCAGGGCCATTGCAGATGATGCAAACATAATAACATCACTAATGAATTTACTGCAAAGAGAAAAATAAAGTCTAAGTAAAAGAAAATTTACCTAAAACGATGGACCGAATGAACTAAATCCTAGAAAACGTATTTGTTAGCCACAAATGCATCAGCTTATGCTTGTTATATGCACGTATTGAAAATTACTTTACTTCACAAGGAAAGAACATTACAAGCTCTGGTGGAAAGTGGTGATTCCGTAGAATTACTATGAAAGTGGTAATTCCGAAGTATTGATAAGCTTGGATATCAAGAAGTAGAGTAACAAGATATCGCATGAAGCCACAAAGGCTTAAAGGCTGACAAGACAGGAGTGAAAGGACTTCTCCCCCACAAAGTGGAATGGGCTACATAAATTTCTTTCACCATTGCACTTTGTTTATTCTTAAGATCATTTCTTAAAGCTTTTGTCCATGTCTTTATAGCATTTCCCAATGATATAAAGACTTGAAGAACTAAAGAAAAAAATGATATTAAAACCTGCAAGCAAGCCTTTAATCAATTATCCATCAGGCAAAAGAGCTCATCATATTTTTTATTTCGTTAGGACCAGACTGAAAGTGTTACCCACCTGTCCCTCTCATATACTTTGTTGGGGTTGGGGGGTGGAGGGTGAACACACCAAATGAAAGATAACTAGCAGTGGGGACAGTATTCTCTCTAACCTTGTTAGCAAGTCAGGATCTGTATCTTGCCACTCTACTTCTTCAATGATTTCCATTATGTACTTGGTTCGCTGCTTAAATTCCACAGACTCAAGAAGTCGTAGATCATCGCTCAAAAAAGTGTCTTCAACAGGAAACAACACCTGTTAACATCATAAAGGATATTAAATGGTCATCATCGCCCAACTATATAAAGCAATGAAATAGTATGTAAAGCAGCTATAAAAAAACAAATCAATTAATCAAAGATTCAAAAGTGTTTGATCCGTGCAAGAATATACAAAATACAATCTGACTAAATGAAGCAGGAGCAACTATTTCCTACTGTTTAGAGGGACAAAGGAGAGTAATTCTTATGTTCCTCTTTGAGAAGAGAAATTTCAGAAGATGTGACTTATGTTCTTTCAGACTCATTAAATTATCCTGTAGGGTTTCTAACTTATTAAAATCAAGATCAAACACAGACTTGTGCTTTTCAGCATTTCATTTATTAGGATGCAGGCTGAACAATTGACTCTGGCCAGTGACTTGATCAAAAATTTCTTCAAACGAGACAGCACTTCTTGTTTTTTGGCCGGGAGCAACATAGCATGCAATATGCCCTCATGAAACTTACCCTTCCATTGGTGATGACCGCATTGACATTGGATCCAGAGCCAAGTAGCGTATACAAACATTGTGCAACCTGCACATAATCATTAGCAGAAACATCTGTAATTAAGAAAGGAAAAGGAAAAGAGAAATCTGAACATTGTTCAGATTTAAAGGCAAAGATTTCAAAAACCTAATGGCTACAGTGATTCTTGCGCGATTTTATTGTAGAAAATGGAGAAACAAAAAAATCTCCATTCACCAAAATGAATTACATGATCAAAGTACCTTATTCAGATCTCCTCTCATCTTGTTGACAGAAAATTCTAGTAGCATTGATTTAAAGGCATCAGAAGATAATCCATTTTCATCAGCCAGCTCATAGACTTTACCCATGAATGCCTGAGTACTTTCAGCGGCTATTGAAGAAACGAGAATATACTTGTTCTCATAGAATGAAGACAGCTGATCCAAAAAGTACAGAACTCTTTCTTTGTGGCTGCATGATAACCCAAGTAAAAGTTCAAAATGCGAATGTGCTTCATAGACAGAAAGTCGAAATTTACAGAGTGGTGAATGTTTTTGACCAACCTATAAGAGGATAAAGTAAATTCAAAAACTCTCACAAAGAGCAGACTAGAGGAATCAGCACTCTGATTAGCATTGAATAGCACTCCTAAACGAGCAATTTTGGACCCTCCCATCTGCATTATGATGCAAGAATTCGAGATGTCAGTGTAGGAAGACAATCTTGGCGTAAAAATAGATTATCCAAATAAGAATTCTTGCATCTCAGAAGTAAAATAACCAGATATTTAATTCCTTCGCGAAGTAACTTCGTCCCTTTCTCTGATGTCACATCGATTGCAAGAAGATGAGACACAGGCTTCAGATCATCCATTGCTAGAGAATTTGCATAAAGGGTTCTCATTAGAATAGAATATGAGACAAATAGAGAAGCAAATGCTACCAAAGGAAAATAAAGTACTGCTTACTCTCAGGAGAATGCAAGTAGTTGATCTCATTCAGGACAGATTTTCCTCGGAGAACAAGTGATGAGAGGGACACGAACCGTGGTCTAGCTTTGCTGTCAGCAATGATCTATTGGAGTACATAAGATCAAGGGGAAAGTGAACATACTAATAAGCTTAGATAAGTAATCTACTGTCTCACTAAATATTCAAATCACTCACCAGAGGGTTATAGCGGCTCACACCACTTTCTGATAAAAATTTATCAAGCACATCGGTGTGGGAATTTATGTGCCCGAAATAAACTTGCTCCTGTATTTTTGGAAGCTCATCGTTCATTGCATTCATGAGAGCCTCCTGGAAATAGTGAAGCAGTGAGAACATAAGAAACAAAAAAGCAAACTGCCCACAGATATTTAAAAGCAGTTGGACATTCATGATGAAGCAGAAAGAAAATACTAATTACTGATCAGGGGACTTGTGAAATAGTTCATTACTTCACAAATGCGTAAAAATCACAAAAAAAGAAAGAAAGTATAATCTGCTAGAAATGAACCAGTCTAAAAATCCCCATCAAAACATGCTGTTCGGTATGAGGAAGAAATCTCAAGCTCTTATGGCAGCAAATTATACATTTCCAAAGGAGATCTACAAAAAATATGCCTTCACAATCATATAACACCACAAGGAGAACAAGTATAATCTGCTAGATATGAGCCAGTTTAAAAACCCCTATCAGAACTTCCTGTTTGGTATGATGAAGAAGTTACAAGCTCTTATTGCAGCGAATTATACATTTCAACAAAAGACCTAAAGACATTGTGCCTCTCCAATCATATAAGATCACACCGAAACAAGTATAATTTGCTAGATGTAAGCCAGTTTAAAAATCACCATCGGAACTTGCTGTCCAATATAAGCAAGACCATTTCCAAAGAGGATTTACAAACATCGTGCCTTTTTGAATATGATAGAGAAAAGATCCAACATAGATGCCATGCCAAGAAAGAGAGGTGCACAATTATCAATGAAAAAGAAGCCTCTTCCCTTGAGAGAAAGTACCTCGTTAGCATCTAGGACAAGACCGTTCATCAAGAGACAACAGCCCCTCTTAGCCAACCCCAGCTTAAAAACAAACATGGAGCTCTCTTGAGACAATAGCTGAAAATTTTGATCCTTTTCCAGCTTCAATAGAATGTCTTGTGGGTGCGATTTTGCCTTTGGTCTACCAACACGAAGTAAATTATGTCAGTTGAATAAAGAAGAGAATACCTCTTATGTTGTTCATTGAGCTCAGGATGGAGAGGAATAAAGGAGAGGGAGGGGAAATCAGCATATAGCAGGTTAAGATTAAGCCAAGCTACATCAGACAGACTTACAGCACTGTGTCTACAAATGCTCCTTCTATATGGTGCCTTTCGAGAGTATCATCTTCAGAATCCACAGACTCAATCCGTGCTCTGTTAACCTGGATAGCAAGAACATAAAAACGTGAAAAGACAAACTTGACACTAAATATTATAGCTTCGCAGGATACAAACATGGACATTCTGGTTCATGCATTTAGCTGTTTAGAGCAATAAATGAAATTTTTTATAAGCGAATGATCTACGGCCTAAACAATTCTAACAAACAACTAGCCAAAATGAATGAATAGATGCGTGGAACTATGAGATGCAAAACCTAATTTTCTTGATCGGGAAAATTTTCTTCTCTGGTTCAACCTAAAGTTTCATGGATGACAAGTTCAAAGCATGTCTGCTCTCCGCGCTCACAGACAGCATTTTAATTATTATGGTTCTTGTACGCAGCAAAAGAACCAAAGGTGCTTCAACCAAAAGTGTTTCGTACTTCAACCAACGGTACATACCAAAAGCTACAGCACTTAAAAAACTTCAAAGAAAATGCGCAAAATAAAAGCCTTGTAAATACGACCCATCAGGTCCATGTTACACAAATATGATAGACCAATTTGCTTTAGACATTGAGTTTATCTGCCAAACCGTACGCTGCTCAAGAACTGGAAGGCCAAGTGAGTTCCATAATTTTCGTTGACATAAACAAAAAGTCCAATTATCTGTGCCAAAAACAAACAGATCAAGTGTCATCAATATTCTCCATTTGTTTAAACTACACTAGAAAAGACTACAAATAAAAGAGAGAAAGTACCAAGCTGGATAGATCCTCAGTTTGACCGCCATTATCCTCAGCATGGCGTGAGACCCTGTTTATTTCAGACTTCTCTATGAAATTGGAAGAATATAGTATCACGCCAAATCTCACGGGAAAATTGTTCTCGTACAAAGATATAACCATATCAATTGACTGCAAGATGGCCAAGAATAGGAAATGAAACAAGCCGTCACTCACCGCAAGATGGCCACAAATAAAAATGAGGAAATACAAGTTGGGATGAAATCAGAACTTGCCTCAAGGCCACAGACAGAGCCTGGGTCAATGACATAAACAGCATGATAAAGATTCTTGCGGATGTAACGTAGTTGTCCGGGGAAAACAGGCATCAATATCTGTACAACAAAACCATACAGTGAAATTTGAGCCAATAAGTGAGAGGTTGGACAAGAAAATGACTACCTCATTTAGGTTGCTCCTCCATTGCCTATACATGGGATCCTCCTCCAAGTTGTTAAGATAATGAACATGACTTGAACGAAAATCGATCCGGAACATGTTGGACTCGGGAGGAGGCAAAGTCCTCAAGAGTTTCACAATAGCACTTTGGGGAATCTGCAGGCATAAGGAATGTCAAATCCACTTCAGTTGCCAAATGTGGAGCAAGCTTCACTCACTTCAACTATAGTTTGACCAAATACTAAAAATGGAAAATGACGAACAGGGGCTATCAAACAAAAAGTGCTTCACAAAACACATAGTTATGTTTCCACAAGGGACTTGCATTCTACCTATAGTGTAATTTTCTTTTATAAGTAAACAAAACTTCATTCATAGAGCAATAAAGGGGTGCTAACTATTAGAAAGTCCAACCCAAAAATTTAAATTGATAAATAAAGGGAGACTTAATGAATATAAAGCCTTTGTGCAAACTGGACTGAGAAGAGCACGTCGAATTGACGGACAGGGAGTCTCACGTATTAAATAAATCTCGGGTGAAAACTGACACTGTTACTGTGTGCAAGTATGATGCAAGGGAGAAGAAGTTGTACGGAATGGGTCAGGGTTCACAAGTGTGTACCCTCTTCTATATAAACTTCACGACTGTTAACAAGTTTGCCTCTCTATCCACAACAAACACATTCACTATGTATAGCAAATATTCCTCAACAGCTAGCATCGCCAAGTAGCGTGATTAAAAAAAAAAAACAACTCCTGGAATCATGGTATGACGTCCTTCAATTTTGCGAGGCTGTGCTAGATAGGACATATTTTGGAAAGTTGGTTAGCACTCTACAATCTTAGCAGATTTGCAGAGACAAACTTATAATTCTCTCACTTCAGCCATTATAAACTGGCCAATGGTGACAGTAAAAATGAAGCTCCTGTAAAAGACGTTTGTAAGCTAAGATGCTGGAAACCTCAACAAGAAGGTACAAAACACATTTATATCCATATTATGGCAACAGCAACCCATTAATTGGCTCCTCTAAGTGAAATTAGTACATTAAGTACTGTATCCATTTCAATGTCTGCAATGCAGGTAAGTGTCAAATCCGATTTGAATATATTAGTTCTACTAGTTTTTATTGACATATATGAATGTGCAATAATCTGAGTCCTTGTCAAACACAGAAACCTGAGTTAAAGAGCTCAGTTGACTCAGACGTATAATGCTAAAACAGTAATAATTACTCTCTCCAATTTTGAATGTTTGACATGTCCCAAGATGAAGAAAATGATCGTATGTGGACGGCAGAACATGAAATGTTTTCTTGGTCAAAAGGAAAAAGCATATTTTAATACACAAGCTGTGTAGTCAGTTATCTCCATTAACCTTCATTTACCTTCATTTTTGCAAACTGGTCAGCTAGAGACAAATCTTGATGAACCAAGTCCATTAACCTGTCAGCAGGAACAAAATGACAACATCCATTTAAAACCAGCAAAAGTTAACAATTTTGTGAAAGGATAAGGAGAATCTTCCACAGCAAGAAGGAAAAACATACAAATTAAAGAATCGAATGAATCATCAATTATGGCCACAATAAGTAGGCTCAATATGGAAAGCAACTTTTTCTAAAAGATTATCAACTACCTCTCATCTTGTATTAAATCTACAACATCATAAGAGTACATGGCCATGGCCTTGTAAATAAAAGAAAGATATTATGCCAGGCTGCCAGCTTCCTCTGATGTGAGGACATACATTTTGGTTTTCTGTTTCAACAAAAGGAAGCCGCTATAGATGACAGAAAAGAGAATGTACGACGAACAAAAAGTTACGGTATTCACCTTGCCTGTTGAGGAGAGAAAGAAAAAAATATAGAATGAAAAGTAAAGATCTTGAATCAACCCTTATGTCAGTCAACAATAGCATTAAATGTTGAAAGTTTTAAAGGCAGCATGCTATCCAGAAGCTTGGGAAGCTGTATCCAGCATAACTACGAAATTGTCTAAATTTCTCTACTCTAATCCCATGAAATCTATTCACCAGCTGATTGAAATTATTTTCTTTTCCTATTACCAATTTCAGAACCGTGACTTAAACTACACAAGTTAGTTGGTACAACAAAGTTTAGTCTTCCTAAATCCCAAATGTGCATACAAAGTATTTGACATGTTAAACCAAACAGAGCAACTAGAGAAGTTGCTTTCTTTGATGTCGTCGACCCAGCTGGACGTTCCATAGGAGTTCCACATCTGTGATGGAATGGACAGTTTGAGCCATAACTACTGCTCATTTTGAGTGAGCCCATCACCATCGCCCCATCACAGTGCTAGAGGGAAAAGTTGCTTTCTAATGACTAAATGCATTAAATTTGCGCATTGTGATGATGTACTAGATCATAAGTGAGCTATAGTGAATCTACACAATCAATTAGAGTGTAGAGATGATTAATAACTTCACCAAAAACCAGTTGTTTTTGGTGTTTCGATTTTCGCACATATTATAACAGATTTTTCAACACCACCTTGCCCCCTTCCCCAAACAAAATAAATGCTTCAAGTGGTCCATACATAAACTTAAGTGGCATAAGGCACAATTTTCAACTAAAAATAATAGGACATGGCTCAGTACAAGGCGCCGGGTTACATGGGAAAGCTCAGTGAAGTATCATTATGCCCATAAATACGATTATCTTTACCAGTCCTAGGCTCATATATTATATGTTCGGATCCAAAAACTGTAGGAAGTGGACCTCCACTAAAGCTTCAGACTGAAACTTTGGGGTGCGGTGGGGCAGTCAGGAATGGCAGAAGCTATACTTATGGTCATGCTAGAAAATTTAGGCAGGAGAAAGGAGGGTCTTCATCCAAAAGTGACAAATAAAACAGTACGAGGGTGGAAAAGCTTTACAGGAAGAGGTCAACATCTTCAATATTGATCAAAGCCCCATTCAGCGCCACTAAAGACTTCCCAGGTGGGATCATTCGCTGGTTTGCAAGTATCTCTTCTTTCACTGAATCGTTTAGCTGCAGGTGCCAAAATAATCAGGGTCAGGGATCAAGAAAGAATTGTGCCCATTACTTTTCTGAGAGTATCGAGTAAGTATTGCCACAACCAAAAGAAAGAAGACGAGAACCCCAAAGCAGAAAGGATGATATAAACACATCATCGTGTAAGCTTTAGTTTAGAAGAATGAAAATTCTGACACTAGGACATTTACCTTCATCCGTGATAATGACGAAACTACAGTAGGAAAATTCTGGTTGATTTCCAGCATTGATTGCAAAGGATCTGAAGCATGAACTATTCTCTGTGCAGTCTGATGTCCTAAATCTGTAAAAAAGCAAGTCATCAAACACAGATGACAAAATAACCTAATTAACGTAATAGATACCTTTCAGTTCCCAAACATCAAGGCTATCTGATACCGTCGCTGATAATAAATAATCCCTGAAAGCCATAATTTCAGAAGTCAGCTCAGGCTTGCGTTCCTGCAAATCGAGGATTGAAACTGGAATCAATCCAACATAAAGCGATAACACATCTCCTTCTCCAGTAACAACATGTAACCCAAAACACTATGTCGAGAAAAGATTGAACCTAAGCAGCATTTTTTGCGCTATTGCACAACTTTTCAAAACATTATGCCACAAAGAAATGCAGTCCATAAATGGCTGAACTAAGTGGCATGCTTCAAGCTATTGCATGAATAGGTTGATCATAGTACATCTTAGACTATGTCAAAGAACTACTTCTATCCCATTTCAACATTCCATATCTCGAGGTCCCTTATTTCAATATTAAAAAAAGCTTTCATTTAAAAGCTTAAACTTTAAAAACAGTCGACAGTGGTCCCACACAATTTCGCATGATGTTAAAGCAGGAGGTCCTATGTTCAAATATTTCCAAGCTCCTTATTTGTATCCCCAATAAATATTTCCATGCTTTGATCTTTGGCCTAAGTCTAGCCAAACTGTGAGAGGGAGCATTAGAGTACTTGAATATTAAATGACCCATTCATCTAAAAGTTTAATCTTTTGGGACATTTGGTAGTGATCCCACACAATTTCACACCTTACAATTAAGAGAATGTAAGCACTCGAATTAGTATGTCTAACATCTTTTCATAAAGCTTCTTCTTGCTTGTGGTGTGGGCACTATTTAGAAGAACAAGATTCAATTTTTTTTTCAATATGACGAACGACTGTGATAAGGTCATGTTTGAATCTAACATAAATCGGAACATATGGACTATCTTAAACTTATGGGTAACATACCAAGATCTTGGAAAATATGAATCCTCTAACATCTTGTGTAAGATCTTCTGTCCGAGGATCTTCCAAAGTGACACCTGAAATCAAACTTTGCAGTCATCAATAAAACTTCCTATTGTACTGTCTGAGTTCCTTCTCTCTTTCCTCAAGGCTTTTGTTTAATAAAAGGAACTTCAGAATTTTTTGGCAATCAATATAGAACGATGGATACATATTAAGGTAATTAATGAATAAGAAAAAAGAATAGAATTGTGATGTCATCTGCTTGTATGGATTCAGATATAAATCTAGTTCCATTACAGACCTTTTTTCACCGCACTATCATCCATAGCCTTATATTCCATATTCTTCAGAGCAAGCTCCACACCATAACCGCCCAAGTTTACATAATCTTCTGTTCCAAGGGCACCACAAACACCAACTTTTGATTCGCAGCCAGATGGCAATACTGGCCTGACAACATAAATTACTTTGCCCTGTATATTTTGAGGTCACGAGTTAGCGATGGCATAACCCACAAAAGAAAAATGAACATAAATAAATCAAGATCAGTCGAGGCAAACTAGTAACAGTTTTCTAAAAAGGTTCTAAAAAAAATGGTGCAATTTATGCATTCAATACATTCTAAAAATAGATCAACTAAATCCCCTTGAGAAATAAGTCCCTCAACATTGTCAGCAGTAATATCGCCCAAGAATATTACAATTTTGTTTTTTCTTTAACTACGGATAAAAAAAATTCAGGATAATGAGAAGATGGCCGAGATATGGTAAGGAATGACTTCCAGATTACGAAACTAACCTTCTTAGCAGCCTCAATAAGAGCTCCATGGAACTCCTTGAAGCAGTTACTCCCAAGAGCTCCATATAGGATAGCAATTGGACTTTCTATATTTGAGTCCAAATATACGTGATCAAAGTCAAAGAGTTCGAGCTGATGAAAAACATCTCCATTACTGCTGACAGAAAATCGTACAAAATTTGATCAGGAGACAATGCAATCATAAAGAATTTTTAAATGGCAACACAACAATGTCTAGAAACAAGAGAATGGAACGCACCGTTCAGGATTTTGAAGCCACAAGTTTAGCTCTGCAATATTAAAGAACAGTTCCCCTCCAGTATCTACCCAACAACATCTCCCATTTGGGCTATCTGGATTCACACCAACAGGCAAGGAATCTAACTTTCTCTTTAATCCCTCCATTTCTTTAGGAAACCCAGGATTCACATTACTTGAGCTAACATCGTCAGCCAGAGGAAAAGATGAGAGAGACTCCTCAGCTAGTTGCCTATAAAGCACTAATCGTGGCGATGCTGATCTGAGAAGAAGAGAGAATTCGAACAATGATGCCAATGAATGACCTATCAAAGAGTTTCCGTGCCCTAAAATTTTCTTTAGGCAGTCCCTGGCCGTAGAGGAGTCGGCATCAGCATCAGTTCCCTCGGAGTGAAGCCAAACCTCAATGAACTCCCAAAAGAGGTCTTTCCATTCTTTTGATAGCAGTTCACTGATCATAGAGATGGAAGTCATTAAAAGGAACAGCACAATAATCTCTAGATAGATGTGGTTAAATAATTCAAGTAACAGATTCTTCAGGTCCAATGTTTGACTGAGGAAATTCAAGTATAAGGGGAAAAAAAGGGGAAATGCAAAAAGTGAACCAATTCAGAAGTACGATGAACAAGAAATGTCGACTATAGTTTGACTAGTCCAGCAACTGTTGAATGAGAAAACTACATAACAAGACAATAGCATTCAGTAAGGTGACTTTCCCACCACAGGATAAGTACACATGCTTGTCAAAGAACTCGCGGAACAGTCGGATTATCAAAGACAAAATCCATATAACCTATTTTAAGCAACATAGATACAATACTAGTGCTGCACACTTGGAAAAAAAATTCCATCGCGAAGAGATATTCCCTTTGAAAGGAGAAGACCGATCAAAATGTTTCATCGTGCTTGAGGGCAGGCACAGGAGTCCTGAAGGCCATTTTGATGGAACAACATTTGCAAATTCGATCCATTTCGCAATTCTACGAATGCCCCCATCGACCCAGACGATTTTATTCATTCATCCATCGACAAAAGGAACAGGACCAAAACAACCGATAATCCAAACTCCTGACACGAGCGCCCGCAATAAGAAAATCGCGAATTCGCTCCCGAAGCCATCCGATCATCAAAGAGGGAACAAGACAAAAATTCGAAGTCTCGCCCGTGTTCATCAACGAAAGAAAAGGAGGGATGCGGATGAAAGTACCCGGCTTCCAGGAGCAACGGAGTGCCGGACCACTTGGCCCGGAGCGCGACCTGCACGTTCTTGGGCCGCCGATCCTCTCCATGAACGCACGCCAGTCCCAGACAAACCAACGCAACAACAATCCAGAACCCAGATCTAGGCCAGGTCTTCATCTCTCTTCTTCCGAGCTTTGAGACGCGTCCTCGAGCAGCTACGACGGCGACATTGAAGTCGTGTTTCGATTGCGGCGTCGATGATCGATCGGGGAAATGCAAACTCCACGAAGCCTCGCCGTCGCGTCCTTGCTGTGCTGTGTTCAGAGGGAGTCTGGGATTTATGCGGAGGTTTTAAAAGAGAAGCGAGAGAAGAGTGGACTCGGCGAAGGAAGTCAAGCCACTAGGGAAGTGAGTCAAGACGGGGTCTTGGATTCCTGATCGTCTACATGCTCCAGTACGTGTCCCAACCAATAACCGAGTGCCACGTTGTTGGGCCGTGGGCATTTTTGGGCATTTTGGGAACTTTGCTCGGATGGCCCTAAGTCATCAGATGGTTGGGTCGGGTCAGGTCGGGTCGAAAAATTGGTCTGAAACGGATTGATCTGTTTAATCATTTTTTGCCCATTTTCATATAACGTATATTTAACGATTCATACCCAACCCAATCTAAACTCAATCCGACTCGTATTTTATAAAATACTTTCATATTTACGAAAACTCTTACCAAATTGAGGTAAGGGCATTGAGCGAGCGAGCTCGAGATCAAGTGAGAGCAAAAGAAAGTGAAAAGAGAGTTATAGAGGTGCGTTAGAACTAAGTAAATTGTAAACTCATTTAACATCCATATTTTTTTGAATTTTACCATTCTAAACCCATTTACTGAATATGACTAACCTATACAACAACTCGATCCATTAATATGAGTTAAGAAATGGGTATATGATTAATTTTGAGAGGTCTAACGCTAAGATGAGTTTTTTACCTTTATTATTGATCATTTTTTTACCATTTACATGTATTTATTAAGTTTTAATAATCGTTCCACGTTATTTCCTTCCTTCACATTAAAGAAACACATAACAATAACAATTGCGTTTTATGCCCTGATAAAAAAAATCAATGAGAATTTAATTATTAATTAATAATCACTAGCAAGTATTTTGGATAGTTTTCTCTCTCCCTCCCTCCCTCAATCCACGATTTGTGACTTAGGAGTTAATGCAAGTAGATTCGTGAGCATAATTATTTTAGCAAAAGTGAAATTAGATAGTTAAGAGTAATTTATAAATTAGTTGCAAATGAGCATGAGCATTTAGGTAAATAACACCCACTAAACAAAATTATTTGATACATCAATTTTGCAAAAGCAGTTTTTGATACTTATCATTATTCTTTGGGCTGACAAATCATAATCATACAAATACAAAAGATGAATTTACAATAGTCCTCTTAAATTATAAAGTCAAAATTTTATAGAAAAATGATATTAGTGAACAAGAACTTCACAAAATTCTATTTTGTCCAATATATAGAGCGGTGATACCGAATATCTGAATAAGTCATCAGATTATTCAACTAAAGGCTGTCGTTTGTTACTAAAATCTACTGGGTTAATTCCAAAAAAAAGCACCAACTTTAGATCTAGGACAATTCTGGCCCGAACTTTTTTTTGTCTCATAAAAAAGCACCAACTTTAGGTCAAGGGATAATTTTGGCCCGAACTTTTTTTTGTCCCCGTAAAAAAGCACCAACTTTAGGTATATGAACAATTTTGGCCCCAACTTTTTTTGTCTTATAAAAAAGCACTAACTTTGACTTAAATCCCAAATCTAGCCCCCATTGACTTGGAACTATTGATTATCTAACTTGACTATTCCACATTAACAATAAATCCATGTGGCTTGCTAACTGGATTTAAAGCAATATTTATTGTCTTATTCTCTAAGCCACAATTTGAAGAATAACGGTAAAACTGTTTATCTCATTCACTTCACTGACAAGTCAAAAATAACTCTAGATTGAATCTCTCTGGCCAAATGTAATCTGAAACCAACCACTGCCTATTGACAGATGCCATGGACGAGATTCGCCAAGCTCATCACCATAATCTTCTTTCTCAAACAATGGTGAAAGTCAACAGGGGGCCAGATTTTAGGATTATGATGAAAGTTGGTGATTTTTAATGAGACAAAAAAAATTGGGGCCGGAATTGTCACTCAATCTAAAGTTTGTGCTTTTTTACGGGACAAAAAAAAGTTCAGGCCAGAATTGTCCCTCGACCTAAAGTTGGTGCTTTTTTATGGAACAAAAAAAAGTTCGGGCCAGAATTGTCTATCGACCTAAAGTTGGTGCTTTTTTATGTAACAAAAAAAGTTTGGGCCAAAATTGTCGTTCGACCTAAAGTTAGTGTTTTTTTTTGGAATTAGGCCAAAATCTACTCATACAACAAAGATGTCTATAGCCTATAGGGCAAATCAAACTATCATGTTTATAAGGCAAATCTTTTGGTTCATGCCCATTAAGACAGATTCAAGATCCATTTACGTGAAAAGTGAATGGTAGTCAGTATAGTCAGTTTGATTTACAAAATTGCTTTTGGATGTTTATTACGGCCTTCGACTGGCCTGATTAGGACATTTACTATTGATTCGCATCGTTTGGCACGTACCGGTTTGGTATGGTAGATTAGCCGTCTCGGCAACGGATGCCGTTGGCAACTGGATAGGTGCATCTCTTTTCGTTCTGTACACCGAGTATACATTAAATTAATGTGTCAAGAGTGATCTTCTACGTAGATTTACCCAGCAAATGGTCATTAAACCAATAAGAGAAACCCCTTAGAAGGATAGAAAAACCGTACGAAACAATGTGAAGGTCTTCATTTTACACAAACTGGTTCACACATGTCTCCACAAACAGTTCGAGTACAAAAAAGATCAAATGGTCTTGTCCTTTCCAGGCTGTTCGGATGCTTTGAACCAAGGGATCCATACCGATGTAGTTTTCTGATAATGCCTGTAAGCTTCGGCCCTGTGAGTCTTCTTCAACATCCGCTCTTCGACAAGCCCGGTCACGTGGAATAAGCAGAGACTATTGATCAGTGCGCCGACAAGTGTCCATCCCTGTCCCAAGTTCCACGCGAATATGACCAGTCCCCACCACCATAGCTGCTCGCCGAAGTAGTTCGGATGTCTCGAGTAGCGCCACAGGCCCTCGTCAAGATTGAGCACCACGGGCTTCCCCTGTTCTTTCAGCTTCTCATTTCGACTGACATAATCATGAAGCTGAGTATCCGCAAAGTAGGCCACGATGATGCCGCAAACCGACACAAGAACAGCCAAAAAATCCCAAACGTTCAGGGGCTTGTCCACTGAGTGTACTACATACGTCGGGAGACACACTCCAAGGAGGAAAACCTGCAGGTAGAGCTCGTTCAGACATTTCATCAAACAGTCACCGGGCATAGAAGAGAATTCACTGACTCGGGGCAGGAAAGGAATTGCAGAGAGCACCTGTTGAGAGACGTAGATGGCCAAGAAGGAGACCCACCACCAGTTCTTGCCATACTTTGCGCGCATCTCGGTGAATCTCCAGTCTTCCCGAGCACCCCACTGCCATTTCTCTCGCCTGAAGTAGTTGTGGGAGAGCCTCACGCTCCACGCCCATGTCATGGCCATCAGAATTCTGGATCTCCACCAGTTGTACTGCCCCAGAGGGTGGGTGGCGTAGTAATGCGTCAGCAGCACGGGAATCACCGTCCAGTACGGATCTATCATCTGCAACGACCAAGAAACAGAGGAGACGCGTTCAACTTGCTGGCCCCGCGAAACAAAACAAGAGAGAGAAGCGGGAGGCACTCACCCAGTGGCTAGACTGAATTTGACTGATGGTCCAGAAGAGGACGTTGACGTTGAGGAAGAAGAAGGCGTTGGCCAAGAGAAAAGGATGGTGGAGGCACCAGCTCCAGAGAGGAGAGAGGCGATCGCCGCCATCGCCGCCATCGCCGGCAGCGACGGAGCCGGAGTGTTTGAGGAAGGCCAAGTAGAAGAGAATGGAGGGGAGGGGAGCGACGAAGGCGAGGAGGGCGTTCTTGAGGTTGCGACCCATGCTCGGCTGCCTGATGCAGTGGAGACGACGGGGCCGAGTCTATAAATAGACGTGGAATGGGATGATTGTGTAGCTTATGTGGGGGTGGGCCAAATGATGAGTCGAATCCACTCACATGCACGCACCGCATTCTATAATCCAGCCTCGCACCCTGGTCCCCCTCCCTCTTTCGCATCGCCGACTCTGCTTTTGCACTTTGCACACGCCGAGAGTGCGAGAGTTCCGCAATCTACGCAGACACAGTGAGAGAGAGGACCGTGGACCACGAACGGGTGAAGGGGGACACGAGGCATGATTAAAAAGCATGAAAAAGGAAGGAAATTGAGTATGAGTGATCATCATTGCGCACCGCAGGCCAATCGCAGGTTGGTGCCAGTGGAGTGGAGTGAGCTTCGGCCATGCGCGGCACTTCTTTAACCTCTCTCCTCCTTCTGTTTCTCCACCTCACTCACAGTCACGGCCTCACAGGCAGTCCTGCCCTGCCTTTTCCCTCTAGTAAATTCGTCTGGCTTCTGTTTTTATTTTTTTTATTGTGGGGGAGGGGGTAATTTAACATCAATTTGGAGCAGGGAGATTGTATAGATTCTGCTGATGATGAGAAATAAAAAACCATCATTGCATATCAGAAATTGTCAATCTTATTTTGAATCTTCTCCGGAAGGGAACTTTACCCAGATGATTTTGCTTTACCATTACTGTACATGAGAAATTTTCTTGATTTCAATCGCTTTTCTTTCTGTCCTTCCTACTTAAAAAGTCCGAGTCTATTTGATATAGTTCGTGCTGAAGAATTTTGCATTCAAGGGGGATGACTTCATAAAAGCAATTCTGCAATCGATTGTCGTAGGTGCTGTAATCGTGAAGTGCGCTTGTCGACGCCTTGTGCAAATACCAACTAGACTCTTCACAGCTTTTATTGCTGCCAAGTACCCAACATCCTTATAATACAAAAGCGGTCGATTGGGACAACATGATATTGACAATCAGTCATGGACCATACACCTTCACATCACTGGACCAGGATGGTATATTTCATATTCCAATGCCAGAAAAGGAACAAACAGTTCAGAATGATTAGCTTTCACTACAAAAACCATGTTTCACAAGAGCCGCTATTCTTATATCAAGATACTGTATCTCTAAAGAAGGGAAGTGTGGGACCGAGATCCATAAACCACATTAACAAATCATATCCACCAGTCTTCCCTTCTCCCCCAACTTGAATCCTGAAGTATATTCTTTGGGGGTTCACTGATATTACTCTCATGTATTGCACATATAATTTCTGTACAAATAAAAGCTCAGTGAATGCCATTCACCTATTGCCTTTTTCACCTTTCAACATCAAGATGCATTTCTCTCAACGGATGCTGGAATCATCTTCGTTTCCTATGCTATTGAGCATTTGGAGTCGTGCGATTTTCATGCCTAGGGGATTCTGCATAAGCTTGTCCTTGGTCTCTCACATCTCTGAACATAGAAAAGATCGAGTTGAGACCTTCAGAAGAGGCACCGCCTAATATCCACAACAAGAGAGAGCTAAACGAGTTCATAGTTCCCGGGTTGGCACCACCCTCTGCTTGGCGTAGGTCGGGCTGTCCAGCATTGTCGGTTTCAGCCTGTTCCGGAAGCCCGAAACTATTCCGCATGGTATTCGCCTGTGTGGTTTGATCTAATCCAGGTCTCTGCCCAGACACAGGTCCAGTTATCATGTCTGCATTGGCTGGAACTGCGTTCCTAGTGTTTAGTCTGGTTATGTGAAATGTTGATGCGAGGATTGTGGACGAGGTGATGTGGAAGTCTGGGTGCTGTTGAAGCTGTGACCGCCGATTTTGCATAAACCTTTGTAGAGCGGGGACCTATAAGATCAATACAGGAAAGTGAACCTAAGTGACCAAGGTAAACAAGCCTTCAAAGGGCGAGAGAGAGAGACAGACAGTATTCCTAAGTACAGAATAGTTTCTTTCTCCAGAGCTTCTCCTTAAACTATCGGTATAACATTCTAATGATATGCATTTAACCAAGCACTATATTCATCCTGTGAACCATCTGGCAAGACATTCTAACAATATCTTTCTGACCTATAGGTCCACACACCGTGCTTCCCAATTGGGAGTACAAGCTAATGCAGCACTTGCTATATTACAATTACCTCAAATCTGTTCCAGAAATATAAGATTAGATGCTGCATGAATGCTGCCGTTGTAGAGAGTGCCAAGTATGAAAAACCTGAAAAAGTTCATGAAACACTTAAATGAGAGTCTTCATCCATAGATGCGTGCGCGCGTACAAAAGAAAGAAAGGCGAAGGGAAACGTACCATAAGAATAGGAAAAGAAATAAATATGGAAAACCAGGAAATAGAGAAGGAAAAACCGGGGAAAGAACTTCATTGATATTGGCGTGCGGACACTGCAAGGATAATCAGATTTTAGCTGTTAGTCTTTATTCGAAGGTAAAAGACTGTATTTGGGGACATGTGCTCGTGAATAAATCATGTTGCATATTTTCAACTGATGGGACTCTAAAATGTGTGAAACATCTTTATCATCACAGAACAATCGGCATCACGTTCAATTTAGCTTAAAGAATTGATTGCGAATTCAAAATTTTAGCACAATCTTCTAAACCACGAATTAACCAATCCATAGCAGCAGGAGATAAAGGACAAAAGAACAGAATACATTTTAGCTAAGAATATCCAACAGAGCCCACTCATTATCTGTTACTATCTGTCACTTTCAGAAAAGGAGAAGTTATGAAACCAAATAGTCCAAACCACACTGCTTTCCAGCTCCATCTAATAACAATCTCTTTCTGCTATTAAAAAGGAGAAACATATCTTCTCCTGTACCCCTTGGATTTGATTACTCAAAATGCGGCTTGCTTATGCCATTTAAGTACAGGAGTTATGCATATCCTGCATGCCAACTAAACTACAAATTCATATGAAAATACCAACCACCAACACCACTGGAGCCTTTTCCCAGGAGTCCATCACGTGGATCCACCAATGCCTTTGCACCGCATTTGGTTTATTTCCTCCATAAGGTCAATAAACTCAAGGTTCCCCTTTATCGTGGATTACATACGATAAATCTCGGAAAATGTAAATGATACTTCGCAGGAACGAGTGCTTATTCTCCCAAGTTTAATAGTGAAAATTATGGCCAGTAATTTTTACCCGCTTTGAAAATATGATAAGTTCACTAGCGAGAATAATTGCATTTATCATGATCTTGGTTGCCAAATGCCCAAAAGAGGAAACAATATAATCAACTGAATGGTACAAAACTGTCCTTCATCCAACATGAATACACTTTTCCTCATACTACTTAAAAAATTGCATCAACAGTCTGCAGGCATCGGTTTCCCTACTAAATTCAAGGATGCAAACTTCCTAACAATGCATAAAAGTTCAATGGTATAAGCATAACAAATACTTACAAACACACAGGTATGGATGGACACAAGCTTGTCTATTATGTACATAAAGTGCATGCCTGCAGCTCCTTGTGCGTGCATAAGCATGAGAGAGAGAGACAGAGAGAGACAGAGAGAGATACCTTATGAGTGTAAATAGTTCACATAACCACACGAGAATTAACACCATGAAAGCCAATAGCTGGTCATCATAAAACTCGAACAGGAAAAAGAGAATCCCGATCATGATCTGCAATCCAATTCACTGCTTGTTAAGAAGCTTTTGCACTATTTGCAATATTTGATGGGCTGTCCATACTAATGTCAAACCATCTTCAAACCATAATGCTCACCGGTACAAAGACAAGGGATTCTATGACATGCACAAATATCAGTTGAAATGTAGGAAGCCGATGTCTTGCGTGATGTTGAAGCTGCACTGCAAATCACTATTATTTTAGAATTATATAGAAGTATGTGAAAGAAGAAAATAGAGACGAAACATGAAGGTGCAAATCAAAAGATGCCACCAGCTCAAGAGCTATAGAACCCCTAACCCGAATCAGAGAGAAGATAAGCTCCAGACAGCTACTAAAAAAATCAACGATTTTCATATAATTGGCAGTGTACATCAGACAACTTTCATATATGCAGCAATCCTATTACACTGTTCCTGGAACGATAAATAAAGATCAAAGAACAGGTACCCAGCTTCCATCATACCAGGGATCCAATACAAACCTGTGAATTTCAGCATTCGGGTTTGTGTCTCTCTCAATGTGAATGATACGGACATTGTCGTCGTGAAAAAAACGAACAGAGACATCATGAGCACTCCACACTTTTTCACAAAGTAGTCTGCAAGTGGCCAGTGAATGCATTACTTGTCTATTGAAAATTAACTGAAAATTGAGGGACAAGATTCTCTTAAAAATAAACAAAGACAAATTACCAAAAGTTATCAGCTTAATAACTATCAATTCTCATGCTAACGTTTTTCCATATAGTTTTCGTCCTGTACATTCACCAATCTCCACAATTACATTGCATCGACACAATCTTCAATATTGTCAAGTAGTCCAACGACGCTAGTAATTTTATAAAGGAGACTTTAATAACCACACTGATTGATTATAATGGGCCACATGTCTTCGAATAAGTTACTCAGAAAACACCAACCCACTTGAAACCAAGTCTAAAGCAAGGTTCGGTGTTCAGCCAGATTAAAGGAAAGTAAAGTTCACATCCCTGCACGTGAACTCATAAGGCCAAACCATTTCTAAACAACCGACATCCTTCGATACATTTCCACTTACAGCGCACTTCATTTCTTATGTCAAACTAACAGGAACATGTTATAATAGCATCCAATGGCTTAAACTTAGATTTTATACTGGAGATGATGACTGTTACAAAAGGCTATGCATTGTGCCAATTGTTTTACTTCTGAGAGGAAAGATGTTTCATAATTGTATCGCGAACATGTTCCACAGGCGTGCAGCATGCATGTTTATGTAAAAGCGGTACCGCAAACATTTCATATGTTGAAAACTTCTCCATCAACTGATACTACAGTTGTATCAAATAGAGCTAATTGGTGGCTTGGCCATATTACTTGGCTTGTGGAATTGCTCGTAAGTTGGTATAGCTTTTTGCACAAAAGCCAGAGAGAGAGAAACCAGAAGACAAAAAAAGACCTGTCTTATGGGACAGAATGTGTAATGAGTTTCTTAAAGGCTTAAATGGGTTTAGCGGTAAATATTTACGTGTTTTCCAATAAAAATTTTGAGATGTTTAATTCACAATATTCCATAGTAACAGTCAAATTTCAAATGTAAATATCTAAAACCAAGTTAAAAGCCACAGCCACTCTAAACACACTAAACTATTCCTGCCTCCTAGGTTGTTTGGCATCAAATTTACTGATAGGTTCTTTTGCCAAAAATCTTTAGATTAAAAACTCCAAAGTCCAAAGGGATCTAGTGAATA